GCAGAGAAAGGAATAGAACAACTCAGAAGAGACACAGTCTCAGACAAGATAATTTACTGACTTGTGATTGCGTGGCTGCCTTGGCAAGAGTTGTTGCTGGTTTCGCGAGCCGCGGCTTCTAGCCTCCTCTTGCTTGGGCGTGGCCAAGCGCCAGGGAGCAGAAATGCTGCGTTCTTCAAGTTTCAAATTCGTTTCTGTAGTTTCAGACTAGTTGCAAAACAGTTTCAAAATCCAGTTGCGAATTCGTTGTTAAGGGGAAACTGCGTTTTTCTACGCGCAATTGCAAAACATGCAGAAGTTCTGGTTTTCAACAAGCGCGGACAGAAATTGCAGCTCCTCCTTAACAGCGATATTTCAACTGGATTTTGAAACTAGTTTGAAACTGACTTGAGACTAATTTGAAACTATGGAAACGATTTTGAAACTCGAAACACTACCATATTCCGGACTTTCTGCCCCCCTCCTGGCCCCTCACATATGGCCCTCACGCACGGGAAGTTGACTTTGGTCAGGCGTGACTAGAGACCAGAGCTTCCGAAAGCTTGCCAATCTCCGGACAGTAGGAATAGAGGAATGTGTGGAAATGATTCTTTCCTAGTTCTTCATCTTCTTTCTCCTTTCCCTATGTATGAGAAAAGAAGACAGACAAGGAGAGAGAGCCCCCTGCAATTGGGAATTTCCCCAGAAGAGAGAAAGCGAAAGGGATGCCCCCACAACTTTCACGTTTTTCATAAGAATGTAAGCACCAAGAGAGAAGAGAAAGGAAAAGAGAATAGCGAGGAAAGAGGCAAGGAAACACAGGAGGCAGCCCCTCCGCTTGCTTCTTGAATGAAAAAGACATCGGAGAAATGGAAACATGAAATTGAGAGGGAAGTTGCGCTTTTCCTTGCTGAAGAACAAAGCAATTCCAAAGAACATGGAAAGCACAAGGAATGTGCTGGGAAAGGTAGGGAAAGGGATTCTTCCTCTGACTTTTTTGCTTTCCTTCAATCTGCGATGTAAAGGGAAAAGATGCAGCGGACAGGTCTGAAAATACAGGCAGGTGATCTTTTTTCCTTATTGTCATCATTGTCTCATTTTCTCAGTGGGAAACGTCTCATTTTCTCAGCGGGAAACGTAAAGTGCAAAAAGATAAAAGAAAGAAAGTAGGGAAGAGTGGGAAGGTTCCTTTTTGTGGTGAGAAGGTAGTCGGAAAGCAACAGGAGACTCCTCTTTCATTCTGTTTACCCCTACCTCTTATAGTCTTTTCGGAAGGAAGAGGGAAGAACATACGCGGATAGGAAGGCAGCCTTTCTTTGATGGGGAAAGGAAAAGGATGCGCTGCCCCCTCAATTTTCATGTTGATGGGAATGTAAGCACCGGGAGAGAAGAAAGGAAGAGAGAATAGCGAGGAAAGAGGCAAGGAAACACAGGAGATTAGGAGTCAGGTTCCGGTGATTGATGTTCGTCTCTTGTCTTCTTTTTGAGAAGGTCGCTTTTGGTTGGAGGAAGAAGTCCGCCTTCCATTTTGAAGAATCTGCAGAGATAGGAATTGAAGAAATCACAAGAGACACGGATAGAGGACATTATAGACTTGATTCTTTCTTATTTATTCATCTTCTATCTTCATTCCCTATATGAACACAGAACAAAGACAAGGAGAGAGAGCCTCCTGCAATTGGGAATTTCCCCAGAAGAGACAAAGTGAAAGGGATGTCCCCCGCACCTTTCACACTTTTGAGAAGAATGTAAGCAACAGAAGAGAAGTGAAAGGAACTCATAATAGTGAGCAGGGAGGCGAGGAAAGACTGGAGGCAGACCTTCTTTCCGGGTGAGCAGGACGAAACAAGAGAATGTAAAGATGTAAGTCGGGAGGGAGGCTGGTAGCCGTTCCTTTCTTTTCCGAACCAAAGACAAAGAGGAAGGAATGCAGGATAGCGCGTAGGATCGCGTAGGAGAACGGTGTGTTTTTGTCATTTTTTGGAGATGATACCGCGGTTTCTGGGTACTCTTTTCTCCTGCATCTGAAGGCATTCTCACGTACCGTTTTTTATTTGATTTTATACTACACGGGCCCCCAAAATTGGTCAATTTTTGCGATTTTTTACTATGTTGTAGGATTCTTTGAGCAAATTTTCAGTTTTTACTGATTCTAAGCTAAAAAAGTACATTTAAAATTATTAAAATTATTAAAATTATTAAAATTATTAAAATTATTAATTTCTGCCCTGAGAGGCTCCCGGAAAATTAAAATTATTAAAATTATTAAAATTATTAAAATTATTAAAACTATTAAAATTATTAAAATTATTAAAATTATTAATTTCTGCCCTGAGAGGCTCCCGGAAAATTAAAATTATTAAAATTATTAAAATTATTAAAATTATTACAATTATTAAAATTATTAAAATTATTAAAATTATTAAAATTATTAAAATTATTAAAATTATTAAAATCATTAAAATTATTAAAATTATTATTTTCTGCCCTGAGAGGCTCCCTGAAAATTAAAATTAAAAAACATATTAAAATTATTAAAATTATTAATTTCTGCCCTGACAGGCTCCCGGAAAATTAAAATTATTAAAATTATTAAAATTATTAAAATTATTAAAATTATTAAAATTATTAAAATTATTAAAATTATTAAAATTATTAAAAATATTAATAATTTCTGCCCTGAGAGGCTCCCGGAAAATTAAAATTATTAAAATTATTAAAATTATTAAAATTATTAAAATTATTAAAATTATTAAAATTATTAAAATTATTAAAATTATTAAAATTATTATTTTCTGCCCTGAGAGGCTCCCTGAAAATTAAAATTAGAAAAAATATTAAAATTATTAAAATTATTAAAATTATTAATTTCTGCCCTGAGAGGCTCCCGGAAAATTAAAATTATTAAAATTATTAAAATTATTAAAATTATTAATTTCTGCCCTGAGAGGCTCCCGGAAAATTAAAATTATTAAAATTATTAAAAACTATTAAAATTATTAAAAATTATTAAAATTAGTAAAATTATTAATTTCTGCCCTGAGAGGCTCCCCGAAAATTAAAATTATTAAAATTGTTTAAATTATTAAAATTATTAAAATTAGTAATTTCTGCCCTGAGAGGCTCCCGGAAAATTAAAATTATTAAAATTATTAAAATTGTTAAAATTATTAAAATTATTAAAATTATTATTTTCTGCCCTGAGAGGCTCCCGGAAAATTAAAATTATTAAAATTATTAAAATTATTATAATTATTAAAATTGTTAAAATTATTAAAATTATGAAACCATTAATAATTAAAATTTTAATAATTTTAATAATTTCAATAATTTTAATAATTTTAATAATTTTAATAATTTTAATAATTTTAATAATTTTAATTTTCCGGGAGTCTCTCAGGGCAGAAATTAATAATTTTAATAATTTTAGTAATTTTAATAATTTTAATCATTTTAATTTTCCGGGAGCCTCCCAGGGCAGAAATTAATATTTTTAATTATTTTAATAATTTTATTAATTTTAATAATTCTAATTTTCCGGGAGCCTCTCAGGGCAGAAATTAATAATTTTAATAATTTTAGTAATTTTAATAATTTTAATAATTTTAATAATATTAATCATTTTAATCTTCCGGGAGCCTCTCAGGGCAGAAATTAATAATTTTAATAATTTTAATAATTTTAATAATTTTAATTTTCCGGGAGCCTCCCAGGGCAGAAATTAATAATTTTGATAATTTTTATAATTTTAATAATTTTAATAATTTTAATTTTCCGGGAGCCTCTCAGGGCAGAAATTAATAATTTTAATAATTTTAATAATTTTAATAATTTTAATAATTTTAATTTTCGGGGAGCCTCTCAGGGCAGAAATTAATAATTTTAATAATTTTAATAATTTTAATAATTTTAATAATTTTAATAATTTTAATAATTTTAATAATTTTAATTTTCCGGGAGCCTCTCAGGGCAGAAATTAATAATTTTAATAATTTTAAGAATTTTAATAATTTTAACAATTTTAATAATTTTAATAATTTTAATAATTTTAATGATTTTAATTTTCCGGGAGCCTCTCATGGCAGAAATTAATAATTTTAATAATTTTAATAATTTTAATAATTTTAATAATTTTAATTTTCCGGGAGCCTCTCAGGGCAGAAATTAATAATTTTAATAATTTTAATATTGTTAATAATTTTAATTTTCCGGGAGCCTCTCAGGATTATTAAAAATATTAAAACTATTAAAATTATTAAAATTATTACAATTATTAAAATTAGTAAAATTATTAAAATTATTAAAATTATTAATTTCTGCCAACGTCCTTTTGAAATCCGACCGTAGGGTCTATTTAGAAGCCGTGCTCTTCTAGGTTTATTACATTTAGGTATATGGACCTGTATTATAAATCACAAGCCCCAGCTTCTAAATAGACCCGGTTTTGCTCACACACGGGGGGGGGGTAGGTACCTAGGGCACCTTAGGGAAGCTTAGGTAGCCTCCGGGAGTACTGGGGAGTACTAGGGAACCTTGGGCTACATACCTCCCTTAAGAACCCTATAAGCCTCGCAGGAAGGACTGCAAACACAAGCAGATTTCACAGAGCTTCACATCGTTTCAATAGAGTTCAATCTCGTTGAATACAGTTTACTAGAGTTTGCTGAAGGGCTTGAAATGTTTCGACACAACGAGGTCACCGAAGAGATCAAGAAGATGACTATCTTTTCTTGCGGGGGGGTTTTGCCCTGAACCCTCTTCTTGAACCCAGACTCTCACCCTAAACCCTACACCCTAAACCCTATACCCTAAACCATTTGGCCACCCTCGGGTTTACTTGTGTTTGGCTGAATTGGACCAAAGGGGTCTTGCATGTAACTAAGGGACAGGAGCAGGCGGGGCACAGCAGCACAGATCTCCTCCCCGGCCTCCCCCCCCCCCCCCCCAAACCCTAAACCCTAAACCCTAAACCCTAAACCCTAAACCCTAAACCCTAAACCCTAAACCCTAAACCATCTTGCCTGCATGACCGCGGACGATGTAGCTTGGCCCATGACTTCCTGTGCAAGCGAACATGGGGGCAAAACTTGGGATGCTCCCCCTTAGACTAACAGTCCTGAAGAGGGATCATCATAAGGGGTACGACAATCCCTATGAAGGACTGCTAGTATAAGGGGGAACATCCCAAGGCAAAACCATCATCGACTGCGTCAAGATCAGATACGACAATGTCTTGCTGCAGTAATCGGGGGGGGGGGGGGGGGGGGGCGGCTGCAAGAAGCTTTAGGGTTTAGGGTTTAGGGTATGCCAGCCTCAGCGCGCTTTCACAACAAAAAATCACCAAGTGGCAAGTACGAGCTTCTGAGCCGGAACGGCAACAACAAAAGGCGTTGGCTCTCCACCAGTGAGGCATGTCCAGATCACGTGGCAGTGCCGTCAGAACTGACGCCCCTAAGCATATCCTTCTACAAACTTTGGGGCCCGAAGCCCCTAAACCCTTTTTGAACCCAGACTCAAAGGATCAGCTACCCTTTTATGTTTCTCTAGGTCTCCTGGGCTACCCTAAACCCTATATAGAACCTACTTACTACTAACCCTAAACCCTATAGAGCCTAGAAATCCCAGTTACAAGCCCGGCACCTTGAAGCCCCAAACTCCAGAAAGCCCTCCTTCCAGGGCCTGTCGGCCGTAAAGCTGCCTCGCAACATGGCTGCTTCCTTGGCACAGAAAGATAACTAGGATGGCCCTAAACCCGTCTGAAAATACTCCTGAATGTGATCCTCTTTAGCCCGATAAGCGAAAATTCAAGATGTCCCAAGGGCCTACTAACATAGATCGGGCCTATCGGGGAGAAGGATGATTTGGGTTTTAGGGTTCAAGGTTCAGGCGGTAACTAGCACTGACGGTTTGGGGGTTTAAGGCTCATGGTTTAGGAGTTTAGGGCTTAGAGTGCAGAGATTTTATGGCATAACATGTCAGGGCAATCTTTGCATGCGTTTGATCAACCCGTTTTCCCGCTCCCGCTCCGTGAAAATGCTGGCAAGCATGCTGCAGAGATTTTCTTACATTCTTTACATCCTATATCACGTTATTATGCTAGTAGGCGACTAGATGATTCTATGATTTTCCTGATGGATTTGCTAGACTGCTAGATTTTTAGTTTGCTTTTGGTATGTCATTATTGTAAACGATCACATTTCATTACATGCGGTAGCACGTCCCCAGCCTTCTTGGCATCCTTTACCATCTTCTGAACGTTCTTTGCGTTCTCGTCGCGGACCGCCCTTAGTACGGAAGGTGCACCTATGTGTATACATAAATAAAAAATAAGTAAATATATATATATATATATGTATGTATATATGCATATATGTATAAACATATCGATGCGGGTATCAATCTGTAGGTATATAGAGATATACAGATATACCCCTTGAACGTGGATGTGCGACGGGCAGTCTCACGCACAAAGACCGGAGACAGCGGTGCAGAACTTGGCTTCAGGGCAAAGAGTCCAAGGACAGTAGTTTAGGGTTTAGGGTTTGGGTTTTTTTTTGCCACCCGACTAGCCACGGCAATGCGGGGTGCAAGGTCGGAAGTTAAAGGAGAACCGGGTTTGGGTTTAGGGTTTAGGGTTTAGGGTTTAGGGTTTAGGGTTTAGGGTTTAGGGTTTAGGGTTGAGGGGTGAGGGGTGAGGGGTTTAGGGCTTGGGACCAGGCATTTCGCTTCCCTTGTGGTCGTTGACCTTCGGCAGGGCAAGGAAGCACTAGTCCGGGAGTCGGGGTTTGGTCCCACAGCCGTCTTCAGAATCACAATGCTTTTGAACCGTACGAGTCGTTATAACCAATACTTGCAAAAATTGTCATCATGGCCGTCAAAACAGTTCTGATAGAAATAGAAAAGGACAACAAGAAAAAAACAAGACGAAGAAACGCAAGACGAGCAACAGCACTTCGTTTGTCCTAGTATGAGCAATAGCGTTAGTATTCGTACTTCACTAGATACTCCAAAACTAAGCTTGAAGCCTGACATGCTGACGCTTTTTATGGCAAGGTCAGGGCCGCCGCTGCCGCACCCTCGCTGAGCGCTTTCGCGGCGGCAACTGCTTCCGATGCGTCCAAAGAGTTCGGGCTTTCCCCCGAGGCCTGCGCGAAGACTTCGGGCGCCGTGATGCGTCGTCCTGTCTTGGGGCGTTCTGGTCTGCAGCCTGCGGCTGTCTTCTCCATGCTTTCTCCAAACTGCAATACAGGCCATCCCAGAAGCCATCTTCGTAAGGCTTGTCTATAGAGGAGCCCATTCTGGGAGGAGCCATCCAGAGGTTCAGTGCCAAGTGGCCTCCGGCGTCACCACCATAAGAGATCACTTCATGAAACCAGCTTGCAGGTAAGTACAGCAAGTCACCCACGGTCAGTTCTGCAGTGAGGTGACGACCGCGGAGGCTGGAGGGAATAGGAGCACGGCCTTCCTTGCAGGTACTTACATGGCAGAAGCTATCAGGCAGTGGACTCTCCTTGCTTTCATTCGGCCCATGACCATCATCGACTCCCGCATCCATGGCGTCGGTCAGCAGCTGATCAAGCTCAGCCTCCTCTTCATCACTGCAGTTCGGGGCTCCTTTCTTTTCTCCACTCCAGGCACGGGCAAGGGACACTGGTGCGCCATCCGACCTCACACCCGGGATGTAGGTAATGAGGCCATTTGGGTGCAACTTGGCTCGCCCCCGCGCCACTCCAACCTGGCATTCAGGCTACGAATGCTTGCCAGCAATGACGCTATTGAGAAACACTAAGTTTTACAAGCCCTTATCAGGCGTCGTGGCTGTTGGGTGCTCTGCAGATATCTTAGCGGTTCCTTTTTCTTTCTGTTTGCTTGTGATCACATCTTAATCGTTCAGCAGCTTGGAAACCATTCTCACAGCCAATTTCAGTAGCAGGCAAACCCAGCAAGAACCACAGGGTCTCACAGACATCTTTAAACTTTAGCCGTTTGGGCACCCTCGCCGTCGCCTCGACTCCTGCCTGCTTCCCCCCCCCCCCCCCACGCCTCCCGAAGAGGCTGGTACGACGCAGCGCAGCACCATCCAACCCAACCCACCACACCCACCCAACCACGCGGCACCGGCGCACGCGAATCAACGAACTATCCTCCCCCTTTTGTTACAGTAGCCTGCATGTACGACCTTAATGCTCACAGACCACAGTGCAATAACTTACACAGTGCACAGTGATGTATAGTACATGTATACAACAAGACGACTCACGTACATTTAGCTAAACCGGATCAGGGGTGGACCCCGGATTGATCTCAGTTTCGCATCACTGCACAGAAACAGCGGTCCTTATAAGGATACCTGAAGCAACCTTGCTGCCACAGCACTGGTCGCAGAATATCCAGGCAGCGTGGGCTGAAGAGGCGAAACTCTTTGCGACCCCGCAGCAGCACGTAGATGTTGTCGTGGAAGTCATGATGCAGGCCGGAGGACGATCCCTCCTGAGACCTCCCAAACCTAAGCCATGGTTGGGATAGCATTAAACATCTAATTTTCTATTCCGTACTGAGTTTAAGTACTAGGGAGGAGGTTAACTCACATCTTTGCGTGTGAAGTCACATCTCCCCAGTGACACGCGGCTGCGAGCGAAGTCACATCACCCCGCGTAAAGTCGCATCACAGAGACATGGTTTGAAGCCTTTCCCCCAGTGTGCACGCGCCGCACGCGCATGTTCTCGACACACATGCAAAATACGCATTTGTCACCGCACGCCTGGGAGGGGAGCACATTTCTGTCGGCACAAAGACAGCAATTGATGCCTTTCTGCAAGTGCACGCGCGACATGCACATGCTCCCGACACACAAGCAAAGTACGCATTTGGCACTACACGCTCGAAAGAGAAGCGCTTGTTGTCCGCAAGGTCTATATGTGGGTAATGACCGTACGTGCTTCTGCGCGAGTCCCGCGCGAGCCGTTGCGAGGGCCGCGCGTCCAGGGCGGCTTTCCGTGCAGCAGTAGCCCTCAATGAAATGAAAGCACTCTGCAGAGAGACAACAAGAACAACCATGTTGTGGCAATCAACTGACAGCACCTTACCTTTGGGGTTTCCATTCTGCCTGGCTCAGGGTTTGTGGGCTCGGAGCTTAAGTTTAGAAAGTGGCGAGCTCGTTTGGGCTGTTGTCGTGGAATGTTAGTTGCACGCCAGGAACTTTGCCCCTGAAGATGAGGGGTGTTGTCGTGAATGAGATTTCTGCTTGGTGGTGCAAGTGGGTTCTGACCAACCTTGGAATTTGCGAATCCCCAGTGTGCACGCGCCCGAGATACGACTTCACACAAGAAGATACGACTTAACCTACCCCCTAGTACCCTAAAAAAAGTGCAAAAGGTTACCCCACTATGACAAAGAAACCACAGGTTGTATTGGACCGGCGCCAGTCCACTCACAAGCTTTGGCCGAAGAGTCTCGGCTCCGTCCAGCAAGCTCTGGACGTGCGGAGGGGCCAGTGCTTTCGGACACCCTCGGGCATCTTCCTATACTCCCCTTAGAACCTTCATAAAAGACAATGTGTTTAATGTCCTCTTGGGTTTACAGAAACAAAAACAAAAAAAATGATTCCCAAGGGGGATAGAGCTTCAGGAAGAGCCTGCGTGGTCAAGTAGGCCAGCTCGTTGCCCTGGTCGATCTCCTTGCAGAAGTGTCCCAAGGTGGTGATCTCGCGAGTGCCCGCATCCTGCTGGCCGAAGAACTGGGACGTCCTGGCACGGCGCTCCACTTCGACTTGGCACTTGCCCGCGGGCCCAAGGCACATGGCCGCGGTACCCTCCTGGGATGGCGATTGAAGCCCTCTGAACAAACATCCCTGGAATTAAAATAGGGATGCTCTTGGACTCCAAAAAGGAAAGGCAAACATGTCCCAAAAAAGCTACCTAGCCTCGTGGCCAGGGGAAGCCCACCTAGCAGCCTCACCACGAAGGCCAAACAGCGCCTCCAGTGCTGCAGGTGCTCCCCCAGTTCGAATGACAAGGGGCCTTCTTTCAAGCACAAACTGCTCAAAGAACGAAGCAGGATCCAATTCTTCGAAGGGCCGGCGCTCCACCAGCCCACCCCCACCAAGCAGCTCGCCTTGCTGGGAGGTTAGGGGACAGAAGCCTCGGTAGCCAGTCCTCAGCCTTGGGTCCTTCGGCGCCAGACGCGTCCGCTTGCCCGGTTTGGAGCTGGAGGTCCCATTCTTTCCCGGGCGAGGCCGCCCTTTCATACTTGGAGGTGACTATGGCTATTCAATACTATTTTTTGAAATGCGTGCGTAGAATAATGCTTGTTGAATGAAAAAAAGCGAGACGTGCGGGGTCTGAGGGGCCCAAGCACTTCTGCGGAAAAAAGGACATCTGCTCCTACATGCTTGTGGACATTCAAGAAACGGAGAAGACGCGACTATCTGCTGGTCGAGTTCGAACCCCAAGGCCCACAAGGCTGCGTGCTTTAGACAACAATCAAAACACAATCCACCACCCTAAATAGCCCTTGGTACCCTAGAAACCATTCTTGAGGGCGCCTGTTTTTGTCTGATGCTCTCATAAGGCTACCATGAGATACTCCAGCTGCCGCGGCCAGGCAGGTGTGCCGCAGCAAATTTTTCTGGGAAGGTGCAGCGGTCGAATCTATGTACTCACGCGGTTGCAGCGGCTGATCGTCAGCACGAGGATTTGCCCGACTTAGGGCATGCATGCCAACAATTGCTAACCAGCAGAGGGAACCCAACCCTAAACCCTGAACCCTTTGAGCAACGGACTTTGGAGGAACCCTAAACCCTAACCCTAGGTGTGATGAAACAAGCCACGCAGGATCACTCAAGAAGCGAAGGCTCCCCGACGTCACCAGAAGGCTCAGGAAGGCTTCCAACGAGGATCGAAAGGTCCACCCACGCTCTTCCTGAGCAACAGGACTACTGGCTTAGGATTTAATTTGAGGCTTAGGGTTTCAGGTGTAATTAGGGTTTTTTGGTTCTCCTCAGCAACAGGACTACTGGCTTAGGATTTAACGTTTAAAAAGTGTTTAGGGTTTATTTGGGTTTAAGGTTCAATTCTTTGTACTTGGTTTGGGTTTAGGGTTTGAGGCTTAGTTGGGGTTTAGGGTTTTTGGGCTTAGGTGTCCCTCAATACTCAACTTCAGACTCAGAAAACTGCAGATCGGCTCACACCACACCTCTTTGCACACTCTAACCCCAAACCCTAAACCCTAAACCCTCTGCATCCGAAGCAGCGAAGCCAGGAAGTCGATGCAAACATCGCGAACCTTGGAGCAACGTCATAAGCCGAGGCGTGAGCGCCCCGTGTCTTGTGCACGCCGTGTGGAAGCTAAGCGCACAACGTCCCAGCGATACTGGGGCAACACGGCCTGAACAAGACAGGGGAAGTGAGATGAAGTTTAGTCCAAGCATCAGAAGCCTTTCAGAAACTTTGCTGCGCCGCGCCTGCAGCAGGTACATGTACAGCAAGACCCAGAACATGGATCCGATCCCCCACGCGAACGCCGCCAGCACGCTCTTGGCCGTCGGTTGCACTTCCTGCGAAGCGCGATACTGGTAGCAGGGCTGAGGTCTCGTGCTGTTACTTTGAGCCTGGAAGACAGAGGCTTTGAGCCTGACAGTGTACGTAGAATGCGAGGCTGATCTGATGTGGTCTTGTCCAGTAGAATGCAACCAAGCAGGCGGGCCTTTGCTGTTTCTTATCTGTTTAAACGTCGCCAGGATTGGGCACGGGCAGGCTCGCGATCTGTGACCCCTGCGCTCTTGGGAGGGGGGCGAGCGCAAGCTGCCGCTTCTGCGCTGCTGCAATCCGTTGATTGCAGTGGTTGGCTGAATTAAACGTTTCTGGCAACTAACCTCAGGATGGTGCCTGAAAGCCTACTTTGCATGTTCACTTGCCATGATTGCCAGGGCAAAGTCGTCAAAACTTTAACTGGAACGTAACTTTCTGAATTCGGCTTGTGCATCTTGCTCAGCATTCGAAGGGGCCCTTGTGACCTCTGCAGAACAGGTCGTGGGTGTTGTCCACCAAGACCCCTCCCAAAATAGCACCCAGATCGCCAATGAAGCACCAGAAAGAATAAGACGCCAAGTTGTGCTCGCTTGGGATGTGCTTGTCTACGTGATGGGCGGTAAGACCATAGATGGTGCCGTTGCCCCAGAAGACGAAGAAGATCGCCAAGGGGATAATGATGGCAATTGCCAGGGACTCCAGATACAAGCCAAGGCCAATCAAAGCCATCGCCACTCCCAAGTAGACTAAACGCCGGCGGAGGCTTGGGGTGGAGAGGAAGATGGCGATGCGTCGGCTAATGGAATCCCCCAGAAAGATGAAGACGTAGGTTATGGCAAAGAACTGGCCCCACTTCATGAGGTGCTCGTCGTTGTGGGGTCCGAAGAGAGGCACCATGGGAGGGTGGAACATGTAGAAGATGGCCGGCCAGTTCTCCATGGCGAAGTGGCTGAGGAACTGCGCCGCGAAGAAGGGAACCATACCGGGCCTCAACTATATTGCAGAACATGAAATCGGGCTCTATAGGTACTTGGAGAGACCCTAACCCCTAAACCCTAAACCCTAAACCCTTTCATTTCCGGTCCCTGCTTCATCGTGCTGCCGAGTCGCATCCACTGCCGGGCCTGGCGCGGGAACTTCAAGCAAAGGGACTTATTTTAGTACTCACTTGGGATGTTCCCCCTTATACTAACAGTCCGTAGTAGGGATGATAGTACCCCTAGTATAATCCCGAGTTAGGACTGTTAGTATAAGGGCGAACATCCCAAGTACCCACCTAGGCGCTGACTTTGGAGGTTTTTGGCAAGCTACATCCCAACGTAATAAAGTCACAGCAAGGGACCTCAACCCTTTTGTTGCCGAAACCCCCTAAGCCCCCTAAACCCCCCCCTTAACCCCCTAGAGCCACTAAAGCCCCCAAACCCCGAACCTGCAACAGCGACGAGCCGAAGTTGGCCGTCTTGAGCTGGGTGCTGCCCCGGGGTGCGAAGCGGCAAAAGAGAGCGAGGCCTATCCTTGGCGTCGGGTTTAGGGTTTAGGGTTGTTTTTCCCACCCGTTTGGGGTTTAGGGTTTAGGCTTTAATCGCTCACACTCGGACCAGCCAGGCGAGGCACACACTGTCTCATGGTTCTTGTGAGGGCCTACTCAGCACATCTGGCCAAGTCGGGCAGGGGTGATACTCGACCGCTGTTACTCAGCTCACAGCGTGATACTTTGCAAGGATACCTACAGTACAGACTTCAGGACATGCCCCTCTCTCAGTACATATTCTCGTCAAGGTTTAGGGTTTAGGATTTAGGGTTTTGGTTTAGGGTGCTGGGCAAGCTTGCTTCGCAGGTTTCGGGCTCAATGGTTCGCGGTTTGGTTTCGGGGTGTTCGGGTTTGTGGGGTAGTGACTTCTGAGGCTTCCATCGTATGCACACCCCTCTGAGTACTCTGGGCTTGCTCGTCAAGAGGCGGAAGGCAAGCCAGAATGTAGTAGAAGATGTAGACCATCTCAACCCCGAAGGAGTTGGCCGTGAGCCCCAGGATGTTGATGGTAGCGAAGCCCATGGGGCAGCCTACAATGGCCCAAGCCTTGGTGGTCCTGCCCAGGGGCGTGATGACGCTCAGGAAGGTCACCTCAAAAATCCCCAGCCCAAGGCCAGAGAGAATGTAGGCGATGAAGACGGACCCCACCCAGTCCCAGCCTAAGGTGAAGACCAGGAAGGCTGGGATGGTCACCCCCACGAACATGAAGACCATGGCCTCATAATCTCCCCTTAGAACCTTCATAAAAATAGTATGTTTAATATTCAAGATTAAACATATTATTCTGAATTATTCTTATTAAGGTTCTAAACTCTCTTGGATTTTATATGAACAAAAATGGAAAACTTAATTCCCAAGGGGGATAGAGTGGCAATCACAACTCGGGTCCATGGGCTGAGGCAGGCGAAGATGACGTTGTGGCCCAAGCGGGCGATGAGCTTGCCGTAGTGGACGCCCACTGCGGCCTGGGTGAAGGCGTGCGCCGCGTCCGTCCCGTCCGTGCTGATGCCAAGACGGTGCTTGTAGGCCGACTGGAGAGGTCCCACCATGGAGGCATAGCCCTGAAACATGCTCAGCATCACCAGGCACCTTAGGAATGCGACGCTCTTTTTACCCTTTTTACTGTCGGTTTCTTTTTTTGGAGCGGGCTCCGGACCAAAACGTGTCAAAACCTCCAGTGGCCCGAAGAACTGGCGATCCCTTGCCACAAGCCTCTAGCCCCATAAGCCCCGCCGCAGCACAGCTTGCTTAGTTTGCTTCATGGGCGCATGAGCCGCACGGGTGGTGGCTCCTCTGCTGGTTGCTTGTCCAGATCTTGCTCTGCAGACTTCTCGAGGTCCACCTCATCCTTGTTGGGCTCTCCTGGAGAAATCCCACCCGCACGACGGTATCTTCAAACGACGAGTTGCACTAAGATTGCGAGAAGGCATAGGTTCTGTTGCAAGATGCGGCTTGCTGCAGAAAGGCGTGAAGTGTCTTCGATTTTGACGGACCCGGCCTTGGCCCGCCAAGTCCACTTGAGGCCGAACCTCGCCCAGGAGTCTGTGACACGTGTTATTGGCCCTTTGCCTATTGCTTCAGGCGACGTTGGCTACTCCGTGGGTTTGTGAGACTCTGCTGGCCTTAGTTATGTTTTTCCTGGGAAGGTCCTTGAACACGAAAGTCCCACCTCAGAAACCTCCACAGTTGTTGGATCTATGCTGTCGGAGGTTCTGCTGGAAGGAGGCCTCCTTGAGGCTCCCTGCTTAGCCACGGGTGTTGAGAAGCATCCGAACCCTACAAACCAAAGAGGCGCAAGGACATGCAAACCCTTCACGCTGCCGACTTCTGATTGTTTACTACCAAAAACGTGCGTGTGTGAGGCGGGAGAGTATTCCTGGTCAGGGGTCCAGCTGTGCCGCCTGCAATTCCTCGATGAACTGATATAGTAAGACCTAAGAAACCAACCCATCTCTTCTGGTAAATAGCGAGAACCGCCATTCTGCTGTCGATGTGTGTGTGTGTGTGTACTGTGTTTCCCTTCTGGCACCAATGAACTTTACACTGTGCACTCAACCCTCCGCACTCCTAGGGCCCTTTTTTTGAACCCAGACTCTGCACCAAATCCTAGGGCCCTAAACGCTAAACCCTATAGACCCTACGCCCTATACCCTAAACTTTAAACTCCTAAACCAGCAAGACGCCTCCTTTGCATCTACGACGTCGACGATGTCCATCGTTGCCGTGGTGGGCGCCATGGCCTGGGGTTTAGGGTTTAGGTTTTAGGGGTTTTACGGTTGTAGGATTTTAGGGTTTTGGGGTTTAGGGGTTTAGGCGTTTAGGGGTTTAGGGTTTTAGGGTTTTGGGGTTTTAGGGTTTTAGGGTTTTGGGGTTTAGGGTTTTGGGGTTTTGGGGTTTTAGGGTTTAGGGTTAGGTTTAGGGTCCAGGAACAAGGTGTTCTAGGAATATGGACCGATCGCCGACATCTGTAACCTTGCAAAAGCCCTCATCGTTCCGTGTCTGTTAAACAAGCAAGACTGTGATTGTGTCAATGCTGGTGGTTGGACATGGGCGCGGTGGGGTGCCTCCGCAAGTCCGCCGGATGCACATTCAGCTCTGCCCCGATTCTGGAAGGAGGTTGTGGAGATCTTAACTTCTTGGGTTTCTGCTGAAAGGAGATCAATCCAAAGACGTCCAAGTGTCACTCATGAGCGAGAAGGCAAGCGATCACTACTCTTGCCTTGAGCCGACAATATGTTGCAGCACCGTCTGCCATCGAGCATGCCTGCGAGTGGCTCAGCATCTTTCGTCCCAGGAAGAAGTTCAGCCGACTGGGGGGGGGGGGGTGCATAAGTGTTTCAGCGGGCCTGATACACTAACCAAGAAAGACTGAACAGTTGACAGCCGGCCGAATTATACACCAACTGTGTGAGGCCGCTCCTTCTCTCGGGGAAGGATTTGCGTGTTTCTGGTGTCCACGACACTCTGCATCGGCACCACCGTGCTGAAGATCACGTTGTTCAACACGAGAATGAACCTTGTTGCGCAGCTGCTCGGGTTTTTCTAGCCACAGGGTTGCAGCTGTGCTACTTGGGTGATGTTTCAAGGCATACCACCCAAGCCCATGGGCAGACTGCAGCTAAGGCACTCCAAAGCAACTGCATTGAGAATCACATCTTCGAAGCTGGGTGTGGCGGTCAGCCACCGGCAACCCAACCTTGAACTGTTAGGGGCTGTGGTGGGTGGAGGGAATGCCTGCGCCACAAAGGTGGTACCATCCCAGAGGAAGCCACGATGCACTATGCATTGACGGACTACTACTCCACAGTCCGAACTGAAGTGAAACCTTCTGCCACGAGGTTTGGGAGCATCAAGTTAAAGACTGGTGGAAGCCCAATGAAGCCAAAGGCACCAAAGCAGGTAGGCATCCACTACGATGCGAGGCAGGAAAAGGACGATGGTCAAGACTGCTTTGACCTTGGTATTGGAGCAAATAAATCGATCTATATAAGGGGCTTCAATTGGGATAAAGGTAGACAGTTTGGGGTTAGGGTCCCTAAACCCTAAACCCTAAACCCTAAACCCTAAACCCTAAACCCTAAACCCTAAACCCTAAACCCGAGTTTTGGGGTTAAGCCATCCATGCTAAAGATGTCGAAAAAACAAGCTTTGCAACAGCCTTCCTGACATTAACGGAACTTACCGTTGGTTAGCAAGGAATGAGGGAATTCAGGCCCTGTATATATATATATATATATATATACATACATATATATTATACCCTTTTGAGGGATTATACAGGGTACCTCATTCCCCCATTCCCTACTAACCAAAACGCTAAAGCCTAAACCCTATTCCCTACTAACCACCATTAACGGCATCGCTCCTCAGATCTGCCCAGGTCACGATCGATGTCAGGCCGACAATGACAAACTCCTCCTCCGAGCCTTCCTGAGTAGAAAAGCCAGGGCTTAGGTTGGGGTTTAGGGTTTAGGGTTTAGGGTTTAGGGTTTAGGGTTTAGGGTTTAGGGTTTAGGGCTTTGGGCTTAGGGCTTCAGGGTTTCGGAAGCCTCTGGCTGAAGCCTTGCCATTACCCGCCCATGCCTTCAAACTCTTCACCCAACAGCTCTAGGGATCGGACCGCCTGTTCCATGGAGTCTTTCATCGAGTCGATGGTAGGCGTGATCCGGACAATCCGGACCTGTAGAGGGACTGTCGGGTCTTAACCCGAAACCCTACCAGTAGACCCTAAACCCTAAATCATCCCTGTATAACCACCTTTTTTTTTTTTTTAACCCAGGCTCAGACAAGCTTGCTGGGAGTCCCGCCAAGCCAACCTGTATAACCCCCTAAACCCTTAACCTCAGGACCGAACGCGTGGCGAACACAGGTGTGTGTGAGCGTTCCGAGGCAGCTTGAGGAAATGCCCCACCAAACACTGTTGGTGCTTGCTGGGGCTCACACCCACGTATCCATTGCTTTCCGTATGTCGGCCACAGCCTGTGTTTTTCAGGTGCTGCACAATATGACAGACCCTGGGAAGAGCCACTCAAATTGGCAAAGAGCTGCATGGAAGCCACTGCTGCCGATAGTACACCCTTGTGCTCCTGTATTCAAGCTACTTTCGATAGAAAAAAGAGGCCCATGTGCATGCCTTCTCTCATCAAGTGAGGCTGTCGGGGATCTGACTCAATAAATCCTAAACCCTAAACCCTAAACCCTAAACCCTAAGCCTTTCTTCTAAGGATCACAGCTGTCGGCTCAACCTCAGCCGAGTAACGGTGAAAGTCCAGATCGTCAGCAAAGTCATGAAGAACGTCGGCTGGGACAATGGGATTTGACCTTCGCACACTGATGCTATCTTCAAAACAAAATGCCCAAACCCCTAAACCATTTGAACCCTAAACCCTAAACCCTGGCATCCCGAAGTATGGTCAAGCCAGCTCAAGAAAGGCAAGAAGCACGACAAAGAACTAGGGCTTTCGTGCCGCAGAGCTGCAGACTTGCTCCTTGTCCTCCCTTGGCGCAAGGCAAAGTCAACGCGCCCTCCCTCCCCCCTCCCCCCCCAACTAGAATACTCATGGGTTTAGGGGTTAGGGTTTAGGGTTTAGGGTACAGCAACCTCTGACCCACCCAGCAAAGCACCGGAAGACGCCCCGCTGTAGGCTCACGTGGCGTGCTAGGAAGGCCCATAGGAAGAAACCCTACCCAGGACCACTGCTGGGTAAATCCGGGAAATCATGGCAAACAAATCATGCACTTGTCAGGTGCATCGAGGATCAACAACACTGACGTCTCCCCTCAAGGACCCTTTTGACTTTTTGAATCAGTGAGCGGCCATGGTGGGGGTGGGGGGTGGGGGGGGGGGGGGGGGGGGGGGGCGTGGAAGTGTGCAGGCGCGGTCAGCAACCAAGGAGCTCGTCCAACTGCTCAAAGTTTTTGGGGTCGAAGTATGGATCCCGGCCACGATGAAAGCCGTTCGCCTTAGCCAACATCGGGCGAGGTCGGGGCACAAGTTGGCGCAACGCATCCCAGCACTTCATTGAGGCAAGTGGCAGTCCGAGCCATACGACTTGTGTCGTTTCCGTACCTGGCATGGTGCCCATGCCAACTGTGCTTGGGCGCTGGCACAACAGGCGAAGACGAGTGTCCTTCATTCTAGACTTGCCACGACGTTCGGCTATCTTACGATGTGCGTAGGTGACATCGGAAATCAGGGATTGTAAGGCAAAATTGGGGGTTCGGTTTGGGGCTGCAAACTTCAACACTGGATTGTTCGGCTACAACTCTCACAAAGGAAGGTTGTATGCTCTTCTCAGCCCAACTCACGTCAACCCCGAAGGAAAAGCGATGACCAAAACTGCCCGACAGGGTGCATGATGATCTCATAGCGATCATAGACGGTGCGGATCTGGTTCACTGCAACCGATGTTACCAAGGCCTCCGTTTACTGGACTTTTTTGGCTCAAAGGATGCGGCTAGGGTTTACAGTTTTAGGGTTTAGGGTTTAGGATTTAGGGTTCAGGGCTGACAGTTCAGGGCTCACATTCACGTCGAGCCGGCCCACCGTACTCAGCTTACAAGAATATGTGGGCCATAGCTGCACCTTCAGCACATCAGGTAGAAGTCCGGCCATGGTTTGCATGAGTGCCCCCACACACACACACCTACACACACCATGCCCAAAGTGGCTGTATGTGTTTGCACACAGAGAGCTCATTGCTGGTGTGCTACCACCAGTGTTGCCGGCAAGGACCGCTGCAACGTTCTGAGTTTCCCTTCCAGACCCCCGGCCCACCATGACCATTGTATGGTAGTGGCACGCCTTTTACAACTGGCATCTGTCCGACGCTTTCCCCGTACTAAGCGTTGGGAAATGCTCGGAATTCCAGAGTCGAAGTGGTTGTGAACAGCCATGGGCACCATGGAGCTCTATGAGAAACAGGGGAACTGCCAGGGATTCAAGGGCCAACTGTCCAAGATGAAGCCTGTAACCCCAGCTTGCAGGGACCTTTAGGCTGGCCATGAGATAGATCTGAAGGATCAGGACGAGCACGAGAATCCTGAGAAGAGCCAGCGCAAGCCAGGACTTCAAGCCTCCCCCCAACATGTCAGCCCCGATGAAAATGCACACAGCTTACACACGGGTGGACCATCTAAGTGTCCATCCCATTTTAAAGGTTTAGGGTTTAGTGCTTAAGGGTAGAACACGTTTAAAACTGTTAAGTGCAGCAGGCGTCATGATTGAGACCCCCATCCGAGCAATCATCAAGCCAGCGGATGAGTACCCTTTGCAGAAGGATCGAGTGTCTCGGACCTGAGCCGCACGCGCTGCTTTGCCCGCAATGTGTTTAGGGTTCGGGTCCCCAAACCACGCATGGTTCTTTTCCAACTCGCCAAGCAAACTGGCAGGGTATAGGGTTTAGAGGCTAGGAATTGAGGCCCAACCGCATGCCACCTTGGCCGAAATTTGCATGCCAGAAGAAGGGGTTGCTAGGAGAACTTGCAGGCACCGAGCCCCACCATAGGCTCCATGACATCCTCTGTCTCGACGAGATGGGAGGTTAATTGGGTTGCTGCCCTTGTATTCAAAAAGAAGAAAGCAGGTGCACTAAGTATGGTGCCACACGGAATAAGTATGGCTATTCACCCCCCCCCCCCCCCCTCATACAATCCCCCTGTTGCAGACTGCTAAGATACAGAGGAACATCCGAAACGGCATGCTTAGACCCGACATCAGCTGGGCAGCGATGGAAGCGATGGCGAGTCCATAAAGGTCTTCCTCCAGGCCCTGACGGGTAAAAAGCTCTGAACTCAGTGGGATCCAACTTGGGATGCCACGCTGCAAGAAAGACCTTCAAAATTATCGTATGCTCTAAACCTCGACAGTGAACCTTGCGCGAGTTTGGGATGTTCAGAGCACTGGCAGAAATGTTTGACACAACTCTGCCTTTCGTTTAAACACGGCGTGATACTGACTAGCCGGGACTGTGAGGGGATCAGCCCGAAAATCTAGACAGGAGAACCCAAATAATCCTTAAAGATTCTAGAATCCCCTTGAAGGAACCCCCGCCCCCCACAAAAAAGAAAAGAGGTACACCTAAACCCTAAACCCTAAACCCTAAACCCTAAACCCTAAACCCTAAACCCTAAACCCTAAACCCTAAACCCTAAACACCCTACACCCTACACCCTACACCCTACCTACACCCTACACCCCAAAGCCCTCCCCAAGGCCCCAAGGAGTGCGGATCTCTTCCTCCGCCCGCCTCGGGTCCGCACGCCTGTGCCTTCAGCTCTTCGGCTTCTTCTCCCTGAGGGAGGAGCTTTTGTATTTGAGAGTGTTAAGGGATTTTTGGGTTTAGGATTTTTGTTGGGGAGTTTTTCGGCTCTTTTCGGGATCTCGGGTTTTTTTCTCGGGGATTTTCCGGGCTTCGAAGCTCACACTTCTCAAGTTGCGCGCGTTCATCCTGGCGCAGGGGCCATGCACATCTGGCGCATCGTTCCAATTTTATCGGAGGGGTTTTGGGTGTAGTGCTTCAGGGTTTTAGGTTTCAGGGTTTAGGGGTATACTTCTCGATTTATGGGTTCGAGAGGGTGTGGGTTGCAAGCTGAAAAGTACCCGAAGCTTCTCCCCCAAAATCCCTCCCCCCAAAACCCTAAACCCTAACACCCCAAAACCCTCAAACCCTAAACCCTAAAACGCTGAAACCCTAAAACGCCTAACCCTAAAAACCCTAAAACCCCAAACCCCTAAACTCCATCCTCAGTAGTCCTCTTTACGAGCTGGCACCTCTTAAAACCCTAAAACCCTAAAACCCAACCCTACAACCCTACAACCCAAAAACCCAAAAGCCCAAAAACCCTAAAACCCAAAGAACCCAAAACCCTAAAACCCCAAAACCCCAAACCCCCAAAACCCCAAAACCCCGAAACCCCAAAACCCTAAACCCTAAAACCCTAAAACCCTAAAACCCTAAAACCCTAAAACCCTAAAACCCTAAAACCCTAAAACCCTAAAACCCTAAAACACTAAAACCCTAAAACCCTAAAACCCTAAAACCCTAAAACCCTAAAACCCTAAAACCCTAAAACCCTAAAACCCTAAAACCCTAAAACCCTAAAACCCTAAAACCCTAAGGCCCTAAAACCCTAAAACCCTAAAACCCTAAAACCCTAAAACCCTAAAACCCTAAAACCCTAAACCCCTAAAACCCTAAAACATAAAACCCTAAAACCCTAAAACCCTACAACCTTAAAACCCCAACCCTAAAACCCTACAACCCTAAACCCTAAACCCTAAAATCCAAACCCTAAACCCTAAACCCTGGCACCTCCGCCTTCTTCTTCTTGAAGAACATGCAGCTGGACAGGGCCAGCAAGCCTCTGGCTCGGCTGAGGAGCCCCGAGTGGGGCGGGGTTTCAGGGACGGTGTGTTTAGGTTTTTTTTTTGCCACCCGCTCAGCTGACCTCTCGGACACACTGCAGGGAAAGATCTATGTCAAGTCAGTTCGTATCATCCCCTTCAGAGTCTGCATAAACCACCAAACACAACTATTCACAAGAGGCCCAAAAATCCACCAAGGCAGAGTAGGCAACTCAGCAGTACTCCTCAGGGGATTACGTGATGATCCTCGTTTTGCATCTGGCCTGCTGTGACTCTGCCAAGTGACCGATACTGACTACTCAACGCCTTAAGCGAGGAGGCGACTCGTGCGCGAAAGCCAAGCGTCGGGAACTATCTCACATGTGAGGACCAGCTGTCTACTTTGAAATAGCTACAACGCAAGACTGTCAAGCGACGAGCAATGAACGTCGAAATGCTCTTGAGAAAGCCCCAACCGGACACTGAAGAAATGATGCTCCATTCGTAAAGAATGGAGGCAGTGCATGACAGAGTACTCTTGCAGTTCATAGCCGAATGCCACTGCTGAAGGCCTGCCCACGAGCCCCCAAAGCAGCAAGATGCAAATATTCCATGGTACCCAGGGTGTGAGGAACTGTTTCCAATTGCACTGTGACAAACGTGCAAGCGTTCACAATGAGCGAAGAATATGCGTGGTCTCGCCCCCTTGCAGCCCATCCCGATCACAGGCAACCTCAGCCACCCTATCAAAATGAAGATCAGGCATTGCAGGATACTGGGACTGCACCGCCATCTTGAGCCAGGACAGGGGAGTACTAGTGACCCCCCCCCACGAGGCCTGTGCGCGGCATCCAGCAAATTCAAGGCGCGGCGAACCGAGGAGGCGTGATCCCAACGCAAAACAGCATGAGTGAGCAAATCATTGTAACTTGTAGGACTGTGACCGCCTTCATCAACGTGATACCCGGAAAGAACAGCGGGGTATACCAGAAAAAAGTACTTGTTGAGTTCCATCGCATGCCCTTGACAACACCCTTGAGCTGATGAAATGCTTGGAACGCACGCTGTCTCAGACCAGGCATGAGGCTGGCGGTCAACGACTCTGCAACTCCAAAGTGCAGCAAATGCTTCCTAAGATATTTAGCGCACACGACCCGGGGAGTTTTATAGATCCTCGTTAAAGAGTGCAAGTATGGGGTGACCCGCCTGAAACATCAAAGGCAGAAGACTCAGTTGGCAGTCCAGGGACCTTCTGTCAAGAACTCAAGAACTCAAGAAATTAGTCCCACGCAGCGCAGCTGTCAGGCTCGCATGTGGAGGAGCGAGGACCACATCAAGCCAAACACTATACTTACTAGATTCACTTCAGCTGTTCCTCCACGCAGAGCTCTTGTACAGGAACAGGCACTGTGAGTATTAGCTTCCTGGCTATGCGAACAGGTCAGGCCCATGATTGCTCACTCTTCAAGATGTTGGGGCGACTGGGAGTCCCGATGTAATTTATGCACCGGGGGGTTTGACCTGTCTCAGGTGGCCAGCAAGAGATGCGAGAGAGCCTTGAGGGCTGGATGAACTTGACGAGTGAACGCGGCGATACTGTCTTGAACGTGTGGCGGCAACGCCAGTCCCACATGGCGCGCAAGCCGCGCAGGAAAGTGAAACCGGCTCTCGTCGAACAGCAAGTATCCAGCCTCGTCGAAGCCTTCTTCTTGGACCAAAAAGGTCACGATGCGACCCAATTCCGTGTAGGATAGTCGCCCTCCTCTACACGAGGACATGGTCCTCAACTTCTCGGCAGCGTCGAGGACCCCAGTCCACGCTGGCGGTTCGCCGTAACGGCCAGCAGAAGCCCTGTGTTCCATCCCCGCATTCAGAGAGCAGGCTTCCCGGTGAGAAGTGGCTGGTGGCGTTGCCGTTGGCGGCGCCCTGATGAGCTCTTTGAGAGGGCGAAGCTCCAACAAGGGAGCCGACCTCCATTGCTGGACTGGCCTCACGACAGGGAGTTGTGCTCCTTGATAGCACGGCGGTGACCACCCCCATGAAGGGTTGCCCACCCACCAGTGTCCAATAAGAGTACGTCGTGATCGGGCTTGACCATCTGAACAACATCAGGGGCGTCAGGTCCTCCAGCTCTGCGCCGGCATGGGAAATCAACACTTGATTCTCTCCCGGCTTCGCGACTTCGATGAAGCCATCGGAGACCCGTACGTGGCATGGTGCTTCCTGTAGAAGCAATCCTACAAACGCGTTGCATCTTGCGAGCCCTTGGTGGATGCACCCGTGGATGGGAAGCAGCACCCAGACCTCGTCCTACGCCCCGGCAATCGTCGGGGTTGCTTCGAGCGCCTCTTGGGATGCAGAGGGAGCCGGCTCTTCTCCAGCGTCAGTTTCAGGGAAGAGCTCTTTCGCAACTTCATCTTGGACGTCGGGGTCAGCTCGATCCTTCCTCCGCCACACCTTCTTTCTGGACGCGCCCTCATGGCAAGAGGTTCGGGAGAGCTTGAGCCGATCTTGTAGCCATTTGGGTTTAGGGTTTAGGAAAAGGGTTTAGGGTTTAGGGTTTGCAAGCGAAGCTTGAGCTGCATGCCTCGCTTACTGATCGCTGCCGCAGCTACGATTGGAACCAAAAAGGAGAGCGATAGAAGCCGCGACGAAGCTTACGTGACTAGAGCACCTGAGCCATATCGTGCGCACCGCGCTTTCCTGTGGGAAACTTCACAGCCTTGAGCGAAGACGCTACCACCTGTCCCCGCTTGCATGGTAGCGGAGCCTTCGGGCTCTTAAACTGTGCGATCCAGGGACCTCGAGACAACCGCCTCCGGAACCGCCAGGCCGTTTCGGAATGTCAAGCGGGACAGGTTCGACGACGGGGCGAACGAAGGATGGAGTCCCAATTTGGGACGGCAATGCAGCAACGTATCAGCAGTATGAGGAGGAAGTGCTTGTGTGGGAACAGGGGATCAAGTACCACGAGCGCTACCCCTGCGGACCTCGGCTGGCGGCCGAGCTCACAGGCGCCGCTCGCAGGATGTTTGTGGGCAAGGCACCAGACTGGGTCTCCTTCAACGGGGGCGTAGCCATCTTCCTTCAGCACCTCCGGGCAAGTTTGGGGAAACCTCAGATTCCAGAAGCGACTGAATACCTCAACAAATACTTCCGGAACAGCAGACGACGCATGGGAGAAGGGATCAACGACTACATCACCCGGAAGACCGAAACCTACTGGCGGGCCTGTCAGGCTCTCCGGCGGGTCATGCCCAAGGAGAAGAAGCAGCAGTACACCGGCATGAACATGGGCTACGCCTGGAACAGTCGGAGATCTAGTTGGGCCTCCCAGGAGGACACGGAGGCAGCCGCTGAAGCTGATGTCCGCCAAGAGCAAGCCGAGCGAACAGAAGAGGAGGAGACCAGCACCACAGCCTCGTACCAATGGAACAACGGATGGCAAGCTTGGAACTCATGGAACTACCCGACCGGATCGTGGGGGTGGCAAGGCAACGGGCCCAGTTGGAACTGGGAAGCAGAAAGCCGTGGCGGAGGAAGTGTTCGGAACGAGAACCACGTCGAGATCCTGCCGGAGTTCGTCCAAGCTTGGTATCTCCTCGCGGATGCTGGGCTGTCGGCCCAAGAGCGCAACCTCATCCACACAGCGGTGGCGGGCCAATATACTCTCGCCCGAGTGAGTCATGAGCTTCGCACACAACATGGCGATGTGGAACACCGACGACGAGACGCGGGGCATGCCTATATCGGGGAGATCATGGAAGACGCCGAGGACATGGACGAGGAACCAGAGCCGACCGCCAACTACATGGACACCGAGGACCTTACGGAGGAGGGGGCAGCATTGATGACGGAGACCCTCGAGGAGATCCAAGAAGCCTACGCCGTGATGCAGCAGGCCCGGAGAACCCTCAAGGCAGCTCGGGAACGACAACACCAAGTGAAGATGTCCAGACAGTACTTTCGGAGTCACACCTCCAAACCCTCGGCGGGAGGCAAATCCAGCGCCGGAAAGGCGCCCGACGATTCGAACATGACGTGCTTGAGATGTGGCAAGCTGGGCCATCGGGCAAGGAACTGTCCGAGCCAGGATGACAAGTCGAGCAGCACGAGTAAGGGCAAGGAGATGGCGCCCTTCGTGTGTTTTGCGACTGGGGCTACGGAGGAAGCCTTGGCCGCAGGGCCCACCACACAGGAAGCGGTGTCCAGAGGATGCTGCGTCTTGGATGGAGGGGCCACAAAGACGTTGGGATCGGTGCAGGCCATTGAATCCCTCTTCGCCAAGAACATGGAGAAGCATGGGGATGCACGGCTCCGCCAGGTGGATGTGTCGAACAAGCCGATCTTCGGTTTTGGAAACAGCTCCGAGAACCAGTGTGTGTCGACGATTCGTCTTGGAGTGCAAGCCAATGGACACCCTGGCGAGCTCACCGTGCATGCCTTGGAGACAGGGCAGGGGCCGATTCTCCTCTCCGTGGATGCTCTTCGCAAGCTCGGCGCCGTGATCGACTTCGAGGCAGACCTCGCCGTGTTCAGAGCCTTGGACGAGCGCAAGATCGTAGAGCTGCAGCGGTCCCAATCCGGACACCAATTGTTAGATTTGTCCGAGGATATTTTTGCTAATGCCCAGGGAACAAACAAACCTGTTCCCTCTTTGAAGGCTTTCCTGTAGGGACAGCTCCTCCCGGATGGCGGCCCTGATGCCAAAAGGGAGGTCACGATGTACAGTTCAGGGAAGGGTACTTGTGTATCTCAAAGTCCTCAATTAGGTGATTTAGGTAATCAAAGTAGAAATGAATTCTCAGATTCCACGACGGCAGCGGTGGAGACAGGACAGATCTTGGAAGCCGACAGCCGCTCCCTTCAAGACTCAAGCCCGGTGTCTTTGAAGGTTCAAGTAGAAGATCCTCCTCGCCGCCATGATGAAGTTGAACAAAGAGCAGCTCCAGGCGGCCCTCCGGGCCTATGGCGAGGAACCGCCGCAGGAGTGGACGAAGATGGATCTTCGCAACCGCATCTGGGACCTCCAGTGGAGTCGGGGCGAGGCGAACACCACGACCCCCACCAAGACGGACCTCCGCCAGTGGATCTCGGACTTGAACAAAGCGAGCCGCAAGAAGGCCAGTCTCATCGAGTTCTGCGAGGAGCGCCTCAAGTTGACCTTGACCCACAACGAGACGATTCCCGTGCTCCAGCAGAAGGCCAATCGAGTCATCTACGAGATCTCGGTGGCCAATGGAAAGGATCCGGTGGGCTTCGGAAAATGGTCCACTTTGACCTACAGCCAGCTGAGGAAGGAGCAACCTCAGTATGCGCGGTGGGTACAAGAGACCTTCCTGGAGGACGGCCACTCCAGCGACTATCGTCTCCAGAGGCTGGCCACATGGCTGATGAACCAGAACGACGACCCCGAGGAGACCGTCACGAACCCGATCCACCCGGTGATGATGGGGCCGACCGAGAACGGGAAATTCGACAAGGGACATGGGAAATCGTGCCCCAAACCCAAAGCTGGGTATGCCAGCGTTCTGCCAGGCTCGGACGCTGTCAAGGGTGCAAGGGAGGATGTCCCAGCCGAAGGGGCAACCAGCTCCGGAGCCAGTGCTTCGGATCGCGAGCAGATGAAGTTGATGATGGACACCATGATGGCCATGAAGGAAGAGATCAAGCAACTACGCCAGGGGCAGGCCGAGAACGAGCTCCCTCGCAAGAAGAAGGAGGGTGTCGAGCCAGCAGAGACGGAGGCCAGCTTCCAGATGGTGATGGACCCCTCGAAGCAACTCGCCAGACCTCGGGACCGGATGCGTGCTGTGGTGACCAGCAACCCGAACACCAGACCGAGGCGAAGAAGGGGTCACAGCAGCCCACTATGTCAGTAGGGGCCGCGCAGTTTTTAGAAGATGAATCATGGAATGCTTTGCCACGGCTGTTCACAGATTTGGCACGTGGCGAACGACCGGTGCTACTGGAGCTTGCGTGTGAAAAAGATAGCGTGCTGACAACAGCTGTTCGGGCACATACCGGCAAAGAATCGTCGGCATCTCGTTGTTCTTTGTGGAGCAATCATGACTTGAGCACCACCGCAGGAGTTCGTCTAGTTCTTGAACAAATTGAAAACGAGCAACCCAGCCACGTTTGGTTGTCCCCTCCCTGCGGGCCCTACTCCCCGATGCAGCGCACTAACCAACGCACCCCGGAACAGAAACAAGACCTGGAGGCCAAGAGACAAGAGGCCCTTAAAATCTATGTAGGATGTAGTGTGATTTGGCATCACTGTGTGCAGCAAGGGATACATGTCACATGGGAATTGTCTGAGAAGTGTGATGCTTGGCGGTTGCCACTGCTACAAGACATTCTTCGCAGGCATCAGCCATATACCGCCGTCATAAAGGGATGCCGGGTGAACCTGCGTAACCAGGAAGGAAGGCTTCTCCAGAAGGGATGGAAGATCATGAGCACACACTGCCGGTTGGCCGAGATCATGCACAAGCCTTGTAGGTGTGACCACAAATATGTTCATGGGAAATGCGAAGGGGGCATGGCGGAAAAATCTGGGAGGTACACTCCGGAGTTTAGTCGGTTGGTGGTGAAGGGGCTGACTCAGGAGTTCAGTTTCTTTGGGCTGGGAAAAGAATTGGAGGGGAAATCTCAAACGCCCGACCTCTTTGGTGGAGGAGAGACATGCGTATGCGATGCGACTGTGCAGTCTGGACATGTGCAGACCTGTAGTAGCTGTGTGTTAGGAAGACTTCATGTGCCATCGCAGAAACAAAACATGTGCCTCATGGGGGAAAAACAAGAGTGCGCGATGGAAACACGCGCAAACCAACTTCGCCAGGCTGAGGACGCCACTTGGGGTAGTATGGAAGCGTATCTTGAAAACCTGAACCTGCCCTTGCCAGGAAAGGGACGGGGCATGTTTAGGGAGAACCAACAAAGACCTCGATACTATCAATTTGGGGCATATGCACATGGAGGTTTTGCAGGGTTGAGTAGAAACACGTCCGTGTACCCTCAGTTGTGTCTCTACGTAAATTAGTCCTCAACTACAACAACCCAGTACCTTGGCACCGGGATGTTCACAACAAAAAGGGAAGTAGGAACTATGTGTGTGCTTTGGGCAAGTTTGAAGGGGGACAGTTGATGGTGGGTTCGGAAAACGGGGCTCCTGAAAAAGGGGCGGAACAACGGGAGGTGCGGCACAGGGTCGTTTCTTTCTCTCCACACGCCTGGCATTGTGTATGCCCGTGGACAGGACAACGAGTGACCATTGCTGCTTATACCACTCGCAATCATGCAGACATGTCTAGGGAAGAGAGAGAGAGCTTGAGAGAACTGGGGTTTCCGGTGCCAAAGGAGGCCTCAAGTGTGACTCAAGCATGTGTGGCCACATGCAGAGAGGAGGCCTTGGCACAGGAGACGAAAGGCGAGAGCGAGAAAGAGAGACAGGGCAGCTTACAGAAGAAGCTCTATCTCCTCCACGCGGCCACCGGACATGGAAGTATCCGCCACCTGGTGGAAGCCCTTAAGCGTAGGGGAGCTAGCCCGGAGGTTGTTGAAGCTGCCAGGAATTTCAAATGCAGTGTGTGTCATGAGAGACAACGCGTGGGACCACGGAACTTAGCTTCCCTCGAACCATTGCCACCTAAGTGGCACACCATATCTGCTGATGTCGGGAATTGGTATCATAATGGTAGTGGGGAACATGTGCAGTTTCTTGTGGTCATTGATGAATGCACTCGGTTCAGAACGGCTCGGATTCTGACCAGAGGCTCGAAGCAGCAGCCGAGCGCGTCAGCCTGTCTGCAGTACCTTCAAGAAGGATGGGTCCAATACTTTGGACTGCCCAGGACTCTCCGCCTGGATCCGGCAGGCGCCTTCCGAAGCCAGGCAATCGAGAGCTACTGCGACAAACATGGCATTTTCCTGGATGTCGTTCCAGGTGAGGCACACTGGCAAGTGGGCACAGTGGAGCAAGCCGTGCAGGGGATCAAGCAGCTACTAGAAAAGCTCCACGCTGATGATCCCTCCATTACACCGGAAGAGGCGCTGGCAACAGCGACTCGGACCTTCAACCACCGAGAGCAGGTGCGTGGCTTCACACCAGCACAGATGGCTCTGGGTCGCAACGCGGATGATTCCGACAGCCTGGTGCCGGAACCCCACAATTTCCCCCCGGATCTGCTCATGGAGAATGCCACAGGTGAGTTTCGCCGAGATGTGGAGCGACGAGCGAGCGCCGAAAAAGCACATGCCGAATGGCACGCACAACAAAGGCTCCTTCGGGCACAACATTCTCGGCCTCGGAGAGTTCTGGACTACAAACCGGGGGAGCTTGTGTACTTCTGGAGATGTCAAGAGTCCAACAAACATCGCCGTGCACCAGGAGGGAAGCATGGCCGATTCCTGGGACCCGCACGGGTGTTGGCAACCGAAACCCGGAAAGATCAAGACGGGCATCTTCGACCCGGCAGTGCGGTATGGTGTGTACGAGGCCGACAACTGATCAAATGCTGTCCAGAACAACTACGACATGCCTCTGAGAGAGAAGAAATCATCGAAGAGCTTAGTGTAGAGGACAGGACTCCCTGGACATTCACAAAGGTGGCGGAAGAGATTGGAGGCAACCAGTATGAAGATTGTACCGAAGTGCCAGAGGCCATGGAGTGGGAACGCGCTCAGGACCCTCTGGAAGAAGCACCACCAACTCGGCGACGCCTCCATGGAAAACGACCGGCGCCTCCATCGAGAAACATAGAGGACGAAGAGGGCATCCCTGCTGATGTGCCAGGAGGACGACCTCGACCACGAATGAACAACCAGGAGGCCCACCAAGCAGACAACGCCTGGTGGACTGAAGTGGCTCACCTTGCTCAGAATACACAACCCGTTGAGTTCTGGATGCATCAAGACACCGCTGTGGAGGTGAACATCGATCTGCCGGAGACCGATCGCGGACTCAAACAGGCGGCTAAGAACTTCGAGGCTTACTTCGTGGGCGCGCTCAAACGCAGGGCGGTGGAAGTATGTGAGCGGAAACTAAATCCAGAAGATAAGGAAAAGTTCCGTGCGGCGAAGTCGATCGAGGTGAAGAACTTTATCGCAGCCGAGGCTTTCAAGAGTCTGCCCAAGGAGTTACAGCCTTCTGCAAACCAGGCCATAGGGATGCGGTGGATTTTAACCTGGAAGAACCGAGAGGATGGGACTCGAAAGGCCAAGGCACGGGCCGTGTTGTTGGGCTACCAGGATCCCTCCTACGAACACAGAGCCACAACATCACCAGTCATGACAAGGCAAACCCGGCAGATGTTCTTGCAATACGCGGCGTGGAAAAGATGGAAAGTGAAAAAGGGGGATGTGTCGGGGGCATTCTTACAAGGCAGGGAGTATCCTGACACACTACATTGTGTGCCTTGCCCGGAAATCCTTGAGGCCATGGGCTTACCGGCGGGGAGTGTGACACAACTCCGACGCGCTTGCTACGGGCTTGTAGACGCCCCGCTCGAGTGGTATCGATCAGTCGACACCTACTTGCAAAGCTTGGGGTTCACCCGGGCTTGGTCGGATCCGTGTCTCTGGCTATATCGACCTCACGGCAAACTACAAGGTGCTGTTTCAGGACATGTAGACGATTTTCTGTTTATGGGAGACGACGAGGACAAAGAGTGGTCCGGGATCCTGGACAACATCCAGAAGAAGTTCAAGTGGGGAGATTGGGAAGAAGGTAGTTTTACACAATGTGGGGTCAAGGTGGCCGTCCACGAGAATGGATACACCCTGTCCCAGCCGGACTACACGAAGGAGCTGAAGGAAATTCCCCTGAGTGCGACAAGAAGAAGAGAAGAAAAGGAACCAGTGACAAGCTGGGAAAAGACCCAGCTTCGAATGCTGTTGGGTGGTCTTTCATGGCATGCGCAGCAGGTGGCTCCACATTTCTCCGCTGAAGTATCCATCCTGCTGTCTGAGACAAGCCAAGGAACAGTAGGTACCATCCTGCGAGCCAACCAACTTCTACGACAAGCACACCTCCGACATGATCATAAGATGTTCATCCACAAGTTCACACCGTCCACAGATCTTGGGCTCTACGCGTGGGTGGATGCAGGGAGCCAAAACCGGGTCCAGGGAGGCAGTACCCAGGGCATCTTCATCGGGATGGCTCCCGTCGCTTTAAGCAAAGGCGAAGTCACAGATGTGTCACCAATGAGTTGGCATTCCAGCAAAATAGACAGAGCGTGCAGGTCTCCGGGAGCAGCAGAAGTACAGGCAGCTACCAATGGCGAGGATGCTCTGTATTATGCCCGCTACCCATGGTCCGAGTTTGTATACGGCAATGTGGACGTGCGTGATCCAGATGGGGCAGTTCGACGGGTACCCGGACACCTCATCACGGATTCCCGCAATGTGTACGACAAGTTGATGACCGAGGTGATTGTGATCAAGGGAGCGGAAAAGCGGGCGAACATTGAGCTCCTCAGTGTGAAGGAAGCACAAGCCAGCACAGAGCTCCAGATACGCTGGGTTCACTCAGAAGCACAGTTGGCCAATGGACTAACCAAACAAGGTCCTTCGCGCGAGTTCGAACTCTACTACCGGATGCAGAGCAAGTGGCGCATTGTGGAAGATGAGCAGATGATGTCCGCTCGAAGACGCAAACAACAAGGGCTACAACCTCTACAGATGGAATCTGAGAATAATTAATTGTTGGTAAGTAAAACAGTGAGGACTTTGAAGATACTGTAGGGGGAAAGGGGGCCATGCAAGCGAAGCTTGAGCTGCATGCCTCGCTTACTGATCGCTGCCGCAGCTACGATTGGAACCAAAAAGGAGAGCGATAGAAGCCGCGACGAAGCTTACGTGACTAGAGCACCTGAGCCATATCGTGCGCACCGCGCTTTCCTGTGGGAAACTTCACAGCCTTGAGCGAAGACGCTACCACCTGTCCCCGCTTGCAGGGTTTAGGGCTTTTTTCCCACCCGTTTCGCGTGTGTTTACGGTTGGTTGTTCAATAGCCCGATGTCACTACAGGATGTTAAGAAGATGGGTACTGGAGCTGTTCCATCGGGTACACAGCAGGATAGTATGGTAGAGAGGGTGAATACAATCAAGTCCAGCTTTAAGATCACAGCATCCTTCTCTCTCCGCTCAGTCTGCTAAAAGTGCTGTGGTGATCCACTATGTTTAATCAACTTCACACCAAGGAATCAATATGCATATACAACCAAGGGCACCTTCGCTCATGGCTTTATGTACGGAATTCGGAACCTGGAGGGTTGAGAACGTAGGCTGCCTCCATTCCTAACTCCATTGAGGCTCCCTACACAGGGACCGGTAGAACTTGGGCTGCTCATGGCTGGCAAACTCCTACTGTAAAGGGGCTACCTGAAGCCCTGAAACCCCCCAAAGACCTAAATTAGCCCTAAAACCCTAAAAACCATAAACCCTAAAACCCTAAAACCAAAAAAACAAGCTGCACCCAAGTAGCAGAAGGTCAGCATAAACAGGATGAGCACAGGGAAAAGCCTTGGTAGCCAGGAACCATATGACAATAAGGGTACGCTTTTTTGGTTTAGTTACTTTGTAAGGGGAACCTAAACCCTAAACCCTAAACCCTAAACCCTAAACCCTAAACCCTAAACCCTAAACCCTAAACCCTAAACCCTAGACCCTAGACCCTAGACCCTAAACCCTAACTTTGAACCAGCAAAAAGGAAAAGGGTATCACTGGGCTACCAAGAAGCGCTCCTAGCTTGGCCTTGAAGAGCAGTGTCCACGAGCTGTCATCGATGTCGAGAGGTCCTGGCCAGGGCAATCTTGTCGGCTATCCCTAAACCCTTTTTGCAAACCCTTTTGCAACGAGCTTGGCTATGCTCCCGCCCGGCTTGGCTGTCCCTAAACCCTAAACCCTAAACCCTAAACCCTAAACCCTAAACCCTAAACCCTAAACCCTAAACCCTAAACCCTAAACCCTAACTGAAAGGGACGCCGGTCCTTTCGGATTTAGCGGGTACAGCGTGGTGCCCGGCGTTGCTGCCTCTGGGGCCGGCTGCTGATCTCCTGAAAATCATGGGACTTCTCTATACTCCCCTTAGAACCTTGATAAAACTAATATTTTTAATGTTCTCTGGGGTTTTATATGAACAAAAATAAAACAGAAATCCCAAGGGAGATATAGTTCTAGGTTGAGGCTTAGCCTTCGTGACGCACGTGGGTAGTTTCCTGAATGAGGGCCCCCTTGTTAGATGCCGATTAGAAGGCGGCACCCTTTAAAAAGGGATCCCAAAGATCCCAACAAAAAGGACCCTACTTTAGAGAATTATCCACATGCTTTTGCAGCCACCGGCCTGCTAGAAGAGCAGCTTGCTTTCGGGGCCGATGATGAGCGGAATGGTCCGAAACGGGAACCTGGGTGGGGGAACAAGAAGACTCCACGAAAACACCCTTGCTCAAGCAAGCACCCAAGTGACACCCTGCCGGGACCCCCCCATTCGGCCCGCGTGGCGTAGGTTTCCTACACAAAGCGTGCAGAAACTGGGACTTCTTCAACATTCACCAATGATTCACAAGGGGCTAAACCCTGGTTTTAAACCCTAAACCCTAGACCCTAAACTCTAAACCCTAAAGTCTGGGTCAACCATGCGAGTGTCAGGGAGCGAAGTCTTGGGCTTCACCATCCGCATCGACTCGTGCTTCGTAGCGCATCATCCTGGGATCTTGGGTGCTGTCGGCCAGGACTGCGCCTGAGCGCACAAGGAAGGGCTTAGGGTTTAGGGTTTAGGGTTTAGGGCTTAGGGCTTAGGGCTTAGGGCTTGGGGCTTAGGGTTTAGGGTTTAGGGTTTAGGGTTGTTTTTGCCACCCGACCAGCCACAGCACAGGGGGGTAGGGTTTAGGGTAATTCTTGCTTTTGTTTGGGACTTGCCATCGCTGTCCAACATGGCCAAGGCACTGAAGAATCCCAGAAGCATCGTGAGGGAAAGCATGTTGACCATGGATGAACGAGTGCTCAACGCACCTTGGTCCCCGCGAGCACTGCTTGACGTTCGCCGTGCCTTAGGGCTGGCTCCAAAAGTTTTTGTAAGCCCAAGACTCAGCGAGGGCAAACAACTGGTAGAAATGGGTCTGAACCACAACGTGGCTGCAGTTGTCGGCGGCAGCTTGCAGAACAATGGAAAGTACCGAAGCCCTGCTGCATGTGATTCAATGAGGATTCGATGCGGGAGCGGGCGCACACTAGTCATGAGAGAACTGCTGTTCTTGACCACACCTGAACTTTGAGTATCAGCGGATCCCGAACCATTGCACATCCCCACATTGGCATAGGATCCATACAACCCATCAATCCTCAAGCAGCGCTTGAGGATGCTTGAGGATCCTCAAAAGGTGTCTGCACCGGCCTCTCGCATGACGGCTGCAGTTTCTTCCTTGGCCTTACAACATGCCCCGCACGACAGAAGGGAACTCATAGTTCCACCATCCAAGGGCTTCCCAGCATGCAATAGTCGGGAGCACAACAGAGCGCAAACGCAACTGGCGCCCGGGCCATTGCGATCTCTGCCTCCATCTCCTAGGTATATGATTACAGAAATTCCCTACATTACATTAAGTTTCCCGCGTGGCACCGTGGACCGCAACCCTATACACCCTAAACCCCTGAAAAGGCACGCGCCTGGCAGGCGAGCTCCAGGGCCGACACCTCCCATTGCTAATCATTGCCGTCATTGCTGTTCTTGCTGGCGTTGCTATTCTTACGGTTTTGAAGTGAATATTTATCCTATGACGATTATGGCTATTATGTTTGCTGCTATTATTACATACTTTACTGTCAATGCTGATGTATCCTTGCTCTCACTTTTCTTAAGATATATACTATACTGTCCAGAGTGGCAAACGCACATGCCAAGGACGCTGGGCCTGGCTCGCGTGCTCTTGGCTCATCCTCGCCTGCCCAAAAAAGACATATCTGGCGCTTCGCCCAGGATTAGCCAGCTTGGATCTGCATCTCAGATGCTTGTGCTATGAGCAAATGCGTGCTTCTCCTGCAGAACAATTTCGCCTTCGCCAATGACACCGCACCCCCACCAAAAAAAAACTAGAAAACAGCTCTCTTGGAATGCCCCACCCGCAAGCCGTTGAAAGGGGGCATGGCAATGAAAATCATATGTAGTGCGCTCGCTATTCTACGATGTTAACGGCCGCCCCAGACAACTAAGGGACCCTGAGAGGACTCATTGCCTCCTTACTAAAGAGGACGCATTGTAACATAATACGAGATCTGGTGTCCTGAGTCTTGTTTCTGACAGGGCCTCTGATGGGGGCATCGCGCGCAGAAGTTCTGCAAGCTACTATACCACATGCATTCTTTGACTTTTCTGCTTCTTCATAGTGGTGGTTGCCTTTGCCGCCCTGATCGCTCCTCATTTTCAATCACTGGGCCAGTGCAGATGCATCGTGATGTTGTTTGATGCTCGGTCTCTTTTTGTACTTGGGTGCCTTAGGATTCGTCAACTAGGTAGCCCTTCGAAGTCTGCACCGTTTCCTGCCGTGCAGTGGCATCGGACTTCAGCTCATCGATCTGCATGCCTTATTGCAGCAGCCATCACGATGTCTGCACGGAAGCTATGGAGGTCCTGGGCTGCTGGCATACCAAGTCAACTTCTTCCTCAGCCTCCTGCAGCCTGAGTTGCTTCTGAGCAGAGCAGAAGGGGTCAGAAGCCATCTGCTGGTTATTGCTGGTGCCCCTACTTGGAGGTTCATGGTACTTATTAACCATTTATATCTGTACTTCTACTTATAACCCACTTATAAGCCCCCTAAGTGCCCTAAGATAGTTATAAGTACAACTATATTGGGTTAATAGTGCCATGAACCTCCAAGTAAGGAATCCAAGGACTGAGGGCCCAAAAGGGCAGCGCTTGTGATGGGTGGAAAGCTTTGGTTCGGCCCCTGGCCGTTCGTTGGCCACGCGGTGGCTGCAAGCTTCGACCTTGCTCCTCTCCACCCTGACCTCCTGCGTCACCGTAGCGGGAGCACAAGTAAGCTATAAGAAACAGGGCGCCTCAAAAGCCGGGACACTTCCAAACGTACCAGCGCCTGGCGAAGCTTCTTCTCCGCACTCTGCTCAGCCTTCTCTTCCTGCTGCAGCCTCATTGGTTCATCCGAGATTGCACTCGCTGCACGTGTTTGCTGAGCCTGCTTTGTCGAATCTGGCCTGCTCTCCTCGCGCTCCGAGCGGGCGATTTCTGCCCAAATGGAGTCAACCTGAACACAGACTGGACCCAATCTAGTTTGAATCCTCCTCCAAGCCTTCATAGTCCTTAATCGGGATTATAGTACCCCGAGTATAATGCCCATTAGGAACGGTGAGTATAGGGGGGAACATCATCCCAAACTTAAACCCTAATCCTGCAATCTCCGAAGCTGCTGTGCGTGCAACGCTGCCAGCCTCGAAGCGGTGGCGGGCATTGTTGCGGGTGGCAGCGGCCTCCCCTTGGTGCTCCCAGGAGATGTGGGGCAAAAGAAAATATCTTACTTAATGGAATACACATAGAAATTCAGACATATGTCGATGTATGCACACGGTACGTGATTATGACCTTTTGTGGGTGGGGTGTGTTGGTGGGGAGGTGGAGAGGGGAGGGTGTTCCAACTACTGCATTGGCACTGAGATTTGTGGTACAGACTTGGGAAGGCGAGCGACAGTTTTTCTGGCAGGAGCTGGCGAAAACCCAAAATCGCTGAACCGCCTCTTGCACACAAAAGGTGACGGGACAGCCTCTTGCACACAAAAAAGTGACGGAAGTCTCAAAGTCAAGTCGCAGTCTCACCCCTGGTCTGTGGGGTTGGGTTTGCAAGCTTCTGATTCTGTAGGGTCGTTTTGCACCGATGATGCGTGATGGGCTGTAGACTCATCAGGATCACGGCGCAGCACGGCTGAGCTGCATGTGAGCTGGCATTGTCTTTCTGACGAGAGCTTCGGCTCATGCCACAGTTGGGAAACATTTTCTTAACTCAACTTTCGTCTCTGCGCATGCGCTAGGGAGGGAGGGAGGGAGAGAGGGAGCGTGAGAGAGAGGAAGGCGCACTTTGAAGGGGAACCGCTCAGCTCCTTGGGGGGCTTCGGGCCGAGGCCACCACAGCATCCTAAAGCAAAGCATGGCGCTCCCTGCTTTTAACCCACGAGCTTCGCTGAAGCGGCGCTTGAAATCGGAGTGCCCTCCAATCTACTACTACTAGTTGCTTAAGAACCCCATCCCAAAAAACAATATTCCGTTTATGATCCATATAAGGAAGAACATTTCTCATATTTGGGGGGGTTCTTAAGCAAATAGTAGCCTACAGTTGAGGCAGCCTCTGGCGCCAGTCGCCATCGAAGTCTTCTTTGCCTCGGTTGCTTACGAATCCCCTGACCTTTCTCGTTCGCCTTGCACGACATGTGGGGAGATCAAGCCAACACTCAAGGGCTATCCTAGGGTTGTACCCTTAAAGGTTCCCTTAATATATACTCCTCTTAGGGGGATCTTCAAGAAGGGTGCCTAAATCCAAGGGTACCGCCTTAGGGGTCGGAACTGCTCCATGGTGCATGGAATCAGCTGGAAGGACCAATCGCACTCCTTCAGGGGCTGAAGGGGCCCCTCAGAGGCTATGAAGGCTCGAAAGGCGGCCCCTTCTAAACCCGATAAACCCTAAACCTGAAGACCTTTAAAGACCTAAACCTGATTCAAAACCCTGAATAAACCCTTAATCAACTCCCAAAACCCCCTAACAACCCCCCCCCCCCCCCCCCCCCAAAAAAAAACCTTAATAAACCCCGAACCCTAAAACAGCCCTACTAACCCTTGCACAAAAACAACCTACCCCCCCCCCCCCCCCCAAAAAAAAAAAAAAACTACTAAACCCTTACAAAAAATCCCCAAAACCCCAAACCAAACCCTAAAATTTAACAGCCCTCAGCTCCTGGTCTGGCTTGATCATGTGCTCATCGAGGGGTTTCCGGCCCCACGAGTCGATTCCACCAACTCCCATCTGGATCGCATCGACGCAGAAAGCCTTAGGGGGGGTTGCTGTTGCGTAGGGTTTAGGGTTTTTAGGGATGTTAGGGGTTTTAGTAAGGCGGGCTTTTAGGGTTTTGAGGTTTTTTTTTGGGTTTTTAGGGTTTTGGGGGTTTTTAGGGTTTAGGAATCAGGCATTTCCTGGGGGCGGGGTACCCCCTGTATAATATGGTCACCGAAAACACAGGTAGCCCCTAACTTTTGCAAAGCCCCCATATCGGGCAAGTGGCAGTGGTCGTCCGCTGTACAAGCTCGCCAGCGTGCAGAAAGGCCTGCTGCGCTTTCACCTCGCCTCCGTCGAAATCTTCCAAGGCAAAGTGGTGGCACTGCATTTCCAGCGTCGGACTTGGGTCCTGGGGAAAAGCTGCCAAGCAGGCGATGCCGACGAATCATGCCATTCATGCTGCCACAAGCTACTAGTAGGTAGAACCTTGCCGACTTCAACCTACGAGAGAGGACTCCGACCCACAGCCTTCGGCTGGCAGCTCACAGCACTTTGTGGTGGCAAGGGGGGCCTTCGCAGAGATGAGCAGCATGGAGCAGGGGTCGGCCGATGGCCGCCTCAGCGCCATCCATCGAGTCTCGAACTTGTTGCCGTTCTCCTGGGGGCGAACGTACCTCACCTTGGTAACGGTCGTTTTGTTGCCAAGTCGCCTTGCTGGCAAAGGGTGTTTTTGGGGCTGAGGCAGGCTTCTACTGCTTTAGAATATTATAAAACATGAATAAATAAAGAAATAAGAAATAAATAAATAAATACATGTATACATATATATATATGTATGTATAATGGGCTTCTGCTCTTCTCTTCCTGCTTTTGGGAGAAACTCCAAGTCACCGTCTGCTCGGCGATGGTGCCCTGGAACAGGCCCACGCGCGCGGAGGCGTGGCGATCCAGATAGGACTCGTGGGGGCCTCGGCCAAACCACTCCACATCCTTACTTCTCAAAGGGTTTAGGGTTTAGGGTTTAGGGTTTAGGGTTACTTCTCCAGTACCCAAGGGGGATAAAAAAGGTAAAACTTCTCCGATTCCTACCAAACAAGGAAGCCCAAAAAGCTTAAAGTTCATAAAACTTACTATTCCTACCAAAATAAGGAAGCCCAAAAAGGTTTAAAGTTCAACTATTGGCCATGCAAGCATCCTTAAAGCCATCCACTAGTGATCCGGTGAAGCCGATCCGCATGGGAGCTGGCTGCTCCTCGGGTTTATATAGGGTTTAGGGTAAGTGTTTACGGTTTTAGGGTTTACGAAATTAGAGGGTAGCTTATTGGGGTCCTTAGTATAAGGGGATCCTACTATTTGGGGGGTCTATATTAGGGGTCCCTTCTTATCGTAAACCCCCCATGTGGCTGCGCTGCTCTCTCTCCAAGAGCCTTCGTTCTTTCTTTTTGAGGTCTTGTGCCCGACTCCGCGCAGTTCCTGCACCCCTTCCTCTTCTATTTCGGCTCTCTTCTTACCTCTTCAGCGGGTCCGGGGTTGACCCCCTGCCCCCGCGCAAGTCATGCACCCATATGCCTGCAAGCTCTGGGCATCTGGGGATTCGTAAAATAGACCCCAAATAGTAGGATTCCCTAAAAATGATGACCCCAACAAGGTACCCCCAATTTTGGAAACCCCATCTGAGAGCTGGTTGCGGCAAGGCCTTGTTACTTTGGCTTGCCCAGCCCCTGTTTGGCGGATCGAAATCCATGACCGCACTCATGCTCAGCATAAGTCTGTATAACCCCTACCCCAGCCGCGACCTTCGAAGGTAGATTCCTATCTACTGCGTCGTATGTCGTATGTTTCAGGAATCTGAGGTATGGCCAGCTACGCGCCCCGAAGTCCAGTAAAGACCTTTTGCCCAGTGACAGTAGTGTACCCCCCCCCCCCACACCGATCAGCAACACTCTGAACATTTCACAGAGCGCGAGAATGCAGATGCCTCTCTCTCCCTCTTCTTTCTTTCTTTCTTTGGGGTGCGGGGGTCCCTCTCTCCTTCTCTCTTTCCCTCGCCCTCCCTCTTTTCTCTTGCAGTCTTTCTGGGTACTCTGAGGGTCCTTGATCTCCAGAATCAGAGCTGTCGAAGGCGACTCTGCATCGACCGCAGCTACGGCATCCCCCACGACTGCCAGGAACTTCCCAGCAGCCTCGAGGGTCACCTGGCGTCTGTGCCGTAGCCACCGTAGGCTAAACCCTAAACCCTATACCCTAAACCCGAAACCCTAAACCCTAAATCCTAAACCCTAAACCCTATACCCCAAACCCTATAAACCCTAAGCCTCAATCATGAGGAGCGAACACCACGTGGATCAAAGTGAGAACACTGAAAGAGTTGCCTTGTCCCCGGACAGCACGGTGCCCGGTCCGTCTGCCCTTCGCAAGGTCCACACCGGCTCCTTTCAAAGAGGTTTAGGGTTTAGGGAGTTTAGGGCTTATCAGAGTTGCCGCAAGATTGATTTTTGCCACCAGGCACTACTTCACTTCGACTCCGACCACTCCGGTGACACCTGTCCTGCGGACTTCCGCTGGCCTCAACCGCAGATGCTTTGCCAGGATAACCCGCAGGCCTTGCACCCATGGACATTTGCGAGAAGATGCTCGCGGAAAGTCTGTTGAAAGGGACGGCTTTCTTGGCTGCCGCACAGGGGGGTCGCTGTGAGTTAGGCTCCCCTAAATCTAGTGTATATATATATATATACATATATACATACATATATAACACGAAGCTACTATTCATAACGGAGTCGCTTCCCAAAAGGGACCCGAGTTCAGAACAACCCCAAAAGCCCGAGCTCCGGGCAATTGCCCAGGCGTAGGTATCGGCACAAGACCGTGGAGCCTGGGTGGCGCGGGAGGATGGCTGGAACCCTAAACCCTGAACCCTAAACCTTAAACCCTAAACCCTAAGCCCTAAACCGTCTGTTCGTGCATCCGCAGTCAAGAGGCAGAAGCTTGCTCTCCGTCTTGCCAGTCACAGCCTCGTATGTGCGTCGAGCGTCATAAAGTTCGAGGATTCAGGAGCTACCGACAGCAACTTGAGATCTGTGCCGTTGAATTTGGAGTCCTTCGATGCGTGTTGTGCCCATGCCTCAGACCCTCCCTGCCTGCAGTGCAAGCTTGTCGCCGTCTTCCAGGGGTTTACCAGCTTCCTTGCCCGCCTCAGAATCCGCCAGCTGCGCATTCGGGGACTCGTTGGGGACTGCATCATTACTACTTGCTGGCTCATCGCAAAAGAGGCCCCTATGAAAGTTGCCAAGCCACAACGTTCAGCGTCAGCGACTGCCACTCCCCCATGTCATTCCAGCGTGCCCGCACGGTCTTGCCTTCCACATCGATGTGGCGCTGCGTGTGGCCCTTGAGATAGCCTCGGTCTTGAAGAATCGAGCCAGTAAGCCGAGCAACCCGGATATCATGAGAATCCCTACTTTGGGGGCTGCTTTAGATTTCCATGTCTTGAACAAACTACTTACACTTGACTCCTCAAGCAAAGCATCCGACGCTGCCCGCCGTGGCGAGCTGTGGCCCATCCTTCCTCGACGGCCTCCACTTTGCCTCCACGGCCACTTTCACAGAAGAGATCTGGAACTCCAAAAGCAGCTTGGCCCCTGCAGGGATGTTGTTGTAGAGTACTACCCAGTACAAAGTCCGGCACAAGCCCTCAATTACACCCATTTCGTACATGGCCGAGTCTTTCAAAGGCAGGAAACTTGGCTGCCTTTGACTCTTGCATACATTTTGATTTTTGAAGCCCTGCTGATCCGGCTCTTAGTAGAGGATTGCGTGGTTCTTAGTAGGGACTTAGGCAAATTTTTCCCCCCTACATGCCCCCCTTCCCTTAATTCCCTCCTCAAAACCAGTAGGATTGGGCCCCTAAACCCTAAACCCTAAAACCTAAACCCTAAACCCTAAACCCTAAAACCTAAACCCTAAGCCCTAAACCCTAAACCCTAAACCCCGAAGGCCTGCTCCAACCAGCAGCTCGGCGCTCGCTCTCACGCTGCCGGGACCTGGGGCGATTTGGACACCGCCGATCCTTGGGACGCGAGAACTTCAACTCGGTAAAGTTTAGGGCTTAGGGTGTAGGGCTTAGGGCTTAGGTTTTTTTTTTAGGGTTTAGGGTTTAGGGCTTAGGGTTTAGGGTTTATGGGTTTATGGGTTTATGGGTTTATGGGTTTAGGGGTTTAGGGGTTTAGGGTTTAGGGTTTGGCACGCGCTCTCAGGGTTCAGGGTTTAAAACCCTTCAGGAGCTTCGCTCCCGAAGTCGTAGGGTTGCCAAAAAATTCAAGCCTTGAAGTCAATGTAGGTTTTTTGGTGTTTTTAACCAAAAAAACCCTCAAAAACCCTAAAGTCATGCAGGCGTCGCGGTGGCCCTCTTCCCTGCCAATCTCCAGCAGGCCATGTCATTCTGCAGGTTGGCTCCTGGCTCACTTTTATTTTGGGGCAAAATCCAAGAACCTGGGGCCTTCCGATTTGTCTGGGGGAGAACAACGTGCAACATTGAGCCCTGCCATTTTGAGCTTGATTGGATGAACCTCGTCTCTGGATAGCCCGCGCTTTATTTCTGGATAACAAGAAAGAAGCAAGGTAACTATAAACAACACAAGCGACCCTGAGCAAACTACACCACCGCCAATCGATAAGCCTGAAGCAGAAGCACTGAAACTGAAAAGCCTCAATAATGCAGGATGTTACTCATCACCAGCCACAACAAAGCGAGTCTACCATGCGCCCTCTTATGGCCAGCCCCGCTCCGTAGTCGTTGTCGGTCCTTGGTTCTTTTCGGTACTTGAAAGAGTTTGGACGCGTGGAGGACTAATCCTAAACCCTTAAACCCTTAAACCCTTAAACCCTTAAACCCTTAAACCCTTAAACCCTTAAACCCTTAACCCCTACCCTACCTCACAGAGTGAGGTGGCAAAAGTTGGCCAAGTACAACACAGGCACGTGGGCCGCCAGAAGTTCGGCAGCAGGGGCGAAGCCAGGAGCTCCAAACCGTCCCAGGCAAGGCCGCTGAGACAACCTTGTGCCTCCTCGATGCCTGGGCTAGGAGGTTCAGGTTCTTTTTTTCTTTTCTCTCCCTCTCTCTCTCTCTCTATATACTATATATGTATACATATATAATATGTGTGTGTATCATTACATAGAAGCACAACGATGCCGAAGCTTGTATGGCCAATGCTCGGGCAGGACGAAGATGTAACAATACATTGGTACAATAATGTAATCATGCAACGACGGAAGAAACTATCAATAGAATAACACAATAATACAGTATACCAAAGGACAATACAACAGTACAAAATCACAGTATATCATGACGTGTCAATCTGAGCACATAACTCAGAAAACGTTGTAGTTCTCTAATAGTTCGCTCATATAGTAGAAGATGTATGGTGATAATGTAGTATGTAGCACTACAATGCTTCTAAAAAACAAGAAGAACACTGGTAGCACCTCTACATGAGGCAATAGAAACTCTCCAGTCCAGGGTTCGTGCAGTCAGCGGTCCAGCTGCGATCGTGACCTGGGCGGAAAAAAACTCGAGGACCATGTAAGTTATGCTAACAATCCGCAACAGGGATTATAGTCGGGGGTACTATAATCCTCATCTAGGGCTGTTCGTAAATGGGGGGACTTCCCAACATGTAAATCTTATGGCTGCTGGGCCTCTCCTAATCTACAAAGCCGACCTTTCTTAACATCCAGACAAAACCTGGCACATGTCCATGTCTCACATGCCTTCAACCCTGTACTATCATAACTTTCACTGAAACCACAGACCCGAAATCCGAATGCCACAAAAGACTTCCAGCTGCTAGCTCAACAGTCGGGCCGCTATCCCGCCCGAGCGGTCCACGACAGGCTCCGGGCCTGTGACGGCTGCTGGCACGTCCTAGAAAACTCAGCTCGGGCGTGAATCACACACACAACACTCACATAGCCATAAGTCATTGCATACTGTATTACTTTACCATAGCATTACTGTAATATACTATACAAATACAAGTGCAATATACACAAATATATTAACGGTATATTACAACTATTTTAGTCATATGTTATTATATTTTAGCCTCAGGGATCGCATATTATATTCGTATATGAAATAAGCCTCAGGGATAGCAAACGCCCCTCTCTCTCTTCCAGTCCTGCTTGGCTGGGAGGTAGAGCCACTGCTCCCACGCGACTTCCTCCCCTGCTTCAAAGCACCCTCCCGCCTCTCCTCGGAAGGAGGGGGGAGTCTTGGGGGGGGGGGGGGGGGTCAGGGTTAAGGTTTAGGGCTTCGGGGGCTCATGGGGTGTGTAGGGTTTACAGGGTTGAGAAGGGCTTCTGGTGTTTTCGAAAGTTTTTGGTTTATGGGGACTTGCCGTGACTTACCTGTTTGGGGAGGTGATCAGCTACAGGCCTGTTTTCTTGAGTGCTTCAGTAGGTCCATCTCACCTGACGCAAGAACTTAAAGCAGAAACACTCAGATCACTCAGCAAACGGACCTGAAACAACATACGAGACAGGCGAACGTAACTCAACTTAGCTTTTGCCATCTAGTGCCGTGTGTACCGTGGATTGCTGAAGCTAGCTGCACCCAAGCGTCGCGTGCAAGCGGACACAAGCAAATGAGCTTCACAACCTGCCACCTTAGCAAGAATGGCGCGGGACCCTGTTGATGGAGAGGCCGCCAAAAGGCAGCCTCTGGCTACAGGGTTGTTTTGAGCGGGCACTGTATTACTGATAAACAGACCTGGAGCATGTGTGTAGATTGTATTTCTTCTGAAATATACTAAATAAATAAATATATTAAATAAATAAATAAATAAATAAATAAATAAATAAATAAATAAATAATGATGCTACCCCCCCCCCAGCGACCTACCCTTCTTAGGCCTTTTTAACAAAAAATAACAAAGAAGGCCCAAAAGTCGCGTAGTTAATCACCGGGTAATGAAGGACAGTTACTGGGACACCCACCTCACAGACCCCGATAAGCCAGCATTGGAAGAATCTACATTTTGAATCTGAAGCGGACAATGCTGTTTTTAGATGTTTAGATCAGTGTTTTTCTATGCAAATTGTGCCTTTCAAGGGCAATTAATGTTTTGTTCAGCAACTAATTTATTTATACAATTGTGTTTGTACGAGGCAAAGTATTGATCAAATAGTGAAACATTTTTCTTGGTTCTATGCGAATTTAGCTACTAGAGTAATTATTCAGCAAAGAGCCCAATTTGACTCAAGTGAATACTATTTAAAGGAGCATACTCAACCAAGATACGAAATAAACACTGAAATAATCATTTTATGCGAATTTAGCTACTAGAGTAATTATTGAGCAAATAGCCCAATTTGACTCAAGTGAATACCATTTAAAGGACCATGCTCAACCAAAATACGAAAGAAGCACCATATTCAACCAAAATATGGCAAAGTGTGGTTTAAAGGGCAAATAGTGCTTTGTTGAGCAACTAATGCATTGAAACAGTTGTGTTTGTACCAGGCAAAGTATTATTGAAGTACTATCTGCAAAGTCAAATGAAACACCTTATGTTTACATATTCATGAAACAATTTTTTTGAAGCATTCATTCTATGCGAATTTAACTACTAGAGGAATTCTTAAGCAAATAGCCCAATTTGACTCAAGTGAATACTATTTAAAGGACCATACTCAACCAAATGCGAAATAAACACTTGCGGAAATGGAAACGGTTCTACCTACATAACAATGAGACAAAGATTGCTGAAGTATTCACTAATGACCACTTATATACTATGTCTGAAAAGCACAATTTGCATGAGCAAGCTTAAAAATGCACAATAATGGAAATAGAAGCGGTTCTACTTACATAACGACGAAACAAAGATGTATGAAGTATTCAATAAAGACCACATATATACTATGCTTGAAAAACGCAACTTGCACAATCAGGCTTAAAAAATGCACAAGAATCCTAGAAAAGTACTTAGTGAAGGCCATACACAAGCAAATTCACAAATACATAAAAACATCCAAAAGCGCAAGCTTTTCAGGAGAATCTCTGGTAAAGTTTGGATTATAGGGTTTTGGGGTATTCCTGGACGAGTAGGCGTCACTTTTTAAGCAAACAATTCTAAGCAATAAATGCTTTTTCTCAAGACAAGTATTGCAAATGCTGCTTCTAGATAATTAATCGCATTTACCAGGCAAATATTATCCATGCGAATTGAGCTACCAGAGCACCAAGTAATGGCTGAATAAGGTCTACTACACTTGAGTACAATCAAAAGATGCACTAAACACTAGCGGCTCTACTTACATAATAACGAAACACATAGTTCTGAAGCACTAGAAAGACCACTTGCCACTTGTATACTATTTCTGAAAAGCACAATTAGCATAAGCACACTTAAAAATGCGTAGTTGTTGCCTCGTGACCGTGAAGGCGAACCAAAAAGCCAAAATACCAAAACCAAAAAACCAAAAATACCAAAACCAAAAAAACCAAAACCAAAAAAACCAAAAACACCAAAAAAACCAATTTTCCGGGACTCTTGGAGAAGCCTCATAGGGATTTCCTGAGAGTCCCGGAAAATTGGTTTTTTTGGTATTTTTGGTTTTTTTGGTTTTGTTTTTTTTGGTTTTTTTGGTTTTGTTTTTTTTTGTTTTTTTTGGTTTTGGTTTTTTGGTTTTTTTGGTTTTGGTATTTTTGGTTTTTCTACTGTCCCGTGTATGCGATTTTAGTTGTATTTTAGTCTACGCCCTAGGAAATACGCTATATTGCACACCGAGTTTGCTTGCAGTGCAGCTGGGTGACTTGAGACAAGGCGAAAAAGGGTAGGTCACTGGGGGGGGTACCATAAATATATATATATATATAGTCTATATTATATATCCTACATTGTGTGTATGTATGCAATAGGGTTTTAAAAACACTTCACGCTGCCTGGTTACTTCGAACATTCCCACCCTAAAGCTCAGGCCATTTGATGGGCCACTGTAGGGGTCATCTGTGACACCAGGGACAGACAAGGAGATCGTTTGTGGACTCAAGGAATACTCTGTGGGCTTTACCTTTATGGGTGATGATTCGGGGTGGAATTGGGTGAATTTTCTGGGGGTCCGGGAATGCTCTGCACTACACTTTGATCGCATTATATGATTCTGCCACAATGATATAATTAAAACAATTAGGGGCCTGAGATGCTGCCACGCTGCTGCGCTGAGTTGCGGCAGGGGCAGCTGGATGCTCTCTGCTTGATGAGGACCCGTGCGCAAGCCTCAACCACGCCAGGCTGGGAACTTCAATGCAGATGCAAAACCGTCCATCCGCGCGGAAGATGGCTGGAGCAATCTTGCGGCTCTGTGCAATGAGAAGCAGGCGGAAGCGTGCCCCTCAAGCTTCCAAGCAAGAGGTTTGAGTCAAGGGGCCAGATGGCGTGACAAACCCCGGCAAGGCGCACGTTAGAGATTTCAGCCGACCCGGCTTGGACATGATTCTCAGCCCTACTCCCTCCCCCTCCCCCTGACAACCTGATACACACACACAACACAAAGCAAATGCATGCACATGTCAATGACTTGACAGTGTGGACGGGGATGTTCCCTCCTTATATACTAACAGTCGCTCATAGGGATTAATTACACGAAAGGGGGTCCTAGAATCCCGCTTAAGGACTGTTAGTATAAAGGGGGGCACATCCCAAGTGTGGACCGCCGAGTAGGAATTCACAGTGCTAGATGGCATGGCCCCGCCTGGCAACTTGCCAGACTCTGCGACGGCGCCGTTGAGGGTAATCTGCCAGGAGAAGTCCAGATGCTCAAGGGTCAGAAAGTCGTAGCCTCATGCCACATGCACCCTCTTGCTTGCTTGCTTGCAGCGCGCTTAACCCCTCGAGAGCGGTCGCCCAAGGGGCACGCTTCTTCGGGTTTGTCGGTGTGAGACAGGATGCTTGGTGGAGTTCGGTAGAATCACGACAGTTTTGTTGCATGTCTCTCTCTCTCACTCACAGGCGCCCAAACCCTAAATCCTAAACCCTAAACAACAATGATCTCACAATATCTATGTGATGTGACAAAGACGACCTTGCGCGGCCAAGGCAGCGATTTCGAACTTCGATGACGCCCCCGGCGAGATCCACAGGGCTGAAGGTGACATGCCTCGGCTACGCCGCGAGTTCCTCCCGGAGCAGTCCCCTGTATCATAGCAACAAGGAGCGGCCATGATTGGATTTCTGCGTTACTGCCACTCGCCTGCTGCCTGCCGACTGATACTGAATTCGAATATATTAGAATATTAGAAATCAAAAAACATTGTATGATGCCCAAGTTGCTGCATGACTTTCTTCGCCTCGAAAAGATGTGGGTTGGGCTTTCGATCCGGCTGCACGAGGCCATTGATGCAAAAGTTCAAATCGCTGGGGGTGTTCTTGCCCCCGAAGTCCCCGCCAAAGGCCCAGATGCTCTTGCCATTCGTCTGGGTTTCCACACCCTGATCGACCCAGTCCCAAATAAAGCCGCCTTGCAGCACCTCGTTTGAGGTTCAAATGGGGGGCTTGTGCGTTCGGACGAACCCAGGCGTCAGATCAGGGTTGCTACGATGTAAGGAAACCCAACAAACTAACTTCTTTGAAGCTGGGGTCGTTGTGATTCCACCAAGCAGCCCCATACTTGTAGATCACGTCCCAGTACTCCTTGAAGGCTCCCAAGGAGTTGCCCATGGCATGAGCGTACTCCACCATAATCAAAGGATGAGCAAGGACGTCACCCTCGTAGAGGGTCCCATACTGTTCCAGCTTCTTGTGGCTGGGATACATGGGGCAGTAGATGTCGGTGTTTCCATCCTAAGGATGCGAATATTCCCTTGTTTCTTAGTAGGGAATGAGGGAATTAGCCGATATATACAAATACATATATATATATATGTATGTATATATCTATATATATATATATGTATACTCTTTAAGGGATGATATGATACATATATGTGTATACATGTATACGCTTGAAGGGATTGTATAGGGTAAGTCTGAGAGCTGGGCTCGGGGTTCGACGTTGTCCGTGGTCCACTCGGGATCGCTTCTACATCTTGCATGCTCGTACTGCACAGGGCGCGTGGGATCTCGCCGCTTCAGCCACCTAAGAGCAACCCCTAAACCCTAAACCCTAGCCCTAAACCCTAAACCCTAAACCCTACACCCTAACCCTAAACCGTCTCTGCCAAAATCATTAAAAGCCACAGGGCTTGAAGCTCTACAAGACCTGCGCACTGAACGCTGAGGCACTTCAGCGGGCTTGCAGTACCATTATATAGGAACATAGTGTTATAAGGATACATCGTATCAAAAAAGTAGAACACTATGATAATCCATAATCGAAAGGTATAACAGCATAAGGATGCGGCAACATAAATATCACTAACAACACAATAATGTAGCTCAGCCAGCCGCGCTGCGGCGCCATTCACGATGCTACACATGCCAAGGTGCATGTATGTCCGGTGATGGTTGATTCCTTGTTCCATGCGCAGCTCGTTTCTAAGCATATGACAGTAGTGATGTCTCTTCTCCCGCTACAGCTTTGACTCACGCTTGCATTCTACGCAAGAGGCTCATACAAAGCCTTGTCTGCCTAACGCCACCCACGAAGGTGCAACAATTTCCGCATCGGAGGCACCGTTTCCGGCTTCATTCCCGAGGGACCAGGTGATAATGCTGGTGAAGTTCTTGTCACGCTCCTAAGCATTGTTTCGTGGATGGATTCCACTCTGGTTTCTCTCGAAGAACTCAACCCCGAGATCCAGCACTGAGCTCTGATCGACATAGCGCTGCACGCGAGCCATGTGGGCCTCACCCCATTCCTCCTCACAACTGTCACAACACTTTTGAAAAAGCGCGTGGGTTGGGGCAAGTTCTGAAACTGGGGTTTTCACTGGGAGCTACTCTGCATACGAATAACACGCGGCAGGTTTGACCACCTCTGACATGTGGAAAGTTGGAAGTTGGAAGAGTGAAGCGTGGCAGAAGGCATCAATGAAGGAGCGGTTGGAACGATTCAGGCTTTGCGGCTTGCTCCAGAGTTCATCCTGCAATCGAACCGACCATTTAATGTATGACACACCGCTCAAATGCCCAAGGCGGTTCACCACATGACATGGGGTGACACGCCGCGGAGAGGCAGAGCCGAAGTGGAAGCACCCTACGAGTGTCTGGGTTCTTCTTTGCTCCCGAAGAAACCTGTCGTGTGTCCCGCTTGTTGCGTCCTTGTTTCCCAGCGTCTTGTCCCAGTTGAAGTCGACACCATGACTCTCGATGTTTGCCTCGTCTACTACGTAGAGGCCGAGTTCGTCGCAAAGCTCGTAGAACAAAATATCATTCCTGAGCACAGGCTTAACTGCCAAGCACCTTTTTACATCGACCTTTCTGCAAAAACTCTAACCCTAAATCCTAAACCCTAAACCCTAAACCCATCTAAGCCCTAAACCCTAAATATCTTGTGCCGACGTGGTGTGAACAAGCCACGCGTCGGGTAATGCGCACAACGCACGGCGTTGAAATTGTTCTGCTTCATGAGGCGGATGTCCTCAGCGGCTACTGACGGCTTGCCCTTCCATTCCGTTGGGCAACTGTTCTCACTCTACTCTTAGGGCCCCTGTTGTTTGGAGAAGACACACTTGATTATATAGTCTATTGAACCTCCCCAAGCTCACTCAACGCAAACCCTAAACTGGCATAGCCACCAGCACCATGGACTCCCGATCCACGACGTGGCCCTTGGAGGGGTGATGCTCGTGACGATTCACGCCGCGGATGGTCAACTCACCTGTGTTGGCATGCTTTGTCCTCATAGTCTGCGGTTTGGGCTTTAGGGTCAATGGTAGTTCCCCTTTGCAAGTCCTTGCGAGGATATGTGAGGATTGCAGTGCCAAGTACCGTCCTGATAGAAGTCCGTTGAGATGAGGGAAAACATGTAAGGGCTAGCTTTATGACTTTTCCTGGCTTGTCTGGGCTTTGCTTTGGAATTCTATTGACTGGGGGTGGGAGGGGGGGGGGGGGGCTCACCACCGGGGGATTCAATATCACGTGATGACTATCGCCTCATGGGGTTTATGGCTATACCGTTCATAAACGATGGTCTATGATGCGCGGAATGCAGTTGCATGTGTTACACTTTCTGCACACACGACTTGACAGATTGAGAAGCTAACATCGATTTTCTACAAACCCTGAACCATAAAACCCTAAGTAATCCAACAATCAATTAGGTTCGTACTGTGCGTGCAGGCAAGGGCTCCGGGTGGAGGATAGGGCGGCGAGTAGGGGGAGAGTGCGGAATAGTTTCAAAAAGAAGAAATATCGCAAACTCGTGAAACTCGATTTCTGAGCCTTTGGATCGCAAACTCATGAAACTCGATTTCTGAGCCTTTGGTAGTTGTCGAGTGTGGAGCAAGGAGTTCCTGGTCCGACCATGCATTGGGGTTGAAGGTTGATGTGCTTCACGTTCCTGATGTTGGGTGTCGTTCGCATGCGCGCTTACTGGAATCGACGTTTGATTCTGCATGAAAGTCGGCATTCTTCTCCTCTTGAAAAGTCGCCATCCTGCGTTTGGGAAAGTGATCCACTCCACTGCGCCCCCTATCTGGTTCCGCAATGATCGGAAGCAAACAGCCCAATGCCGTGTGATGACTAAATTGGGCGCCAAAAAAGTCGGTTGCTCATGTGGCTGCGCACTTCCGTGCAGGATTCTGTGCGCTGGCCATCTTGGGCAAAAGATTGGCATAGGCGGCTTACCCTAAACCTTAAACCCTAAACCCCAAACCCTAAACCCCTAAACCCTAAGTATGTGCTGCTGAGAAGCTGCCATTTAGCAGCAGCCGACCCTGCCGTATCTCCACGGTTCGGAAGCCCACCCGGAGGCACACCTCGTCTTGGGCAATCGGTTAACTCTACGCCCTTAGAACCTCAAATCAAGATGATATGTTTAAAGTCCCCCCTAAACCCTAAACCCTAAACCCTAAACCCTAAACCCTAAACCTTAAACCCTAAACCCTAAACCCTAAACCCTAAACCCTAAACCCCTTAGGTTGAAAAAAAAAGAGAGGAAAACACCCAAGGGGGACGCAGTCAAGTCGCAGCCTCTGTTAACTCAGCCTTCTCGTTCCGCAGGGTCACCTTGTTAGTATTCTTGGTATTGTGCGTATCATGAGTATTATCAGTGTTATGAGTATTATTCGTATACTATTAGTATTATTAGTCTTAGTCGTACTATTAATATCATTAGTACTATTAGTATTGTTCGTACTATTGGAAATACTAGCATTATTCGTATGACTAGTATTATTAGCATTATGCATGCAAGCACAGGTCTTCACGCTGACTGGGCTCCTCAGGAAGGATGCGACACGGCCGCCCTCCTGCGCTGATTCGACTTCTTCCCGAACCCTAAACCCTAAACCCTTCACCCTAAACCCTAAGCTGATGTCGGCCATGGTGCCGACAAGGTGTAGAGGTACGGTGCCTCGACAGGGTCTGGCACAAACTGAGTGTTTTTCCAAAGCAACAGTATGTACCATTTTGGGGTCCCAGTGTTTTGCTAAACCCGCCTAAAACCCTAAAAACCTGAACCCTAAACCCTACACCGTGCAGCACTGCAAGAGTCATGTCACATGTAAAATGCAGGGACCAACCAGAGACCGCCACAAAGCTGTAAACCCCATACCTTGTTTTGCTTCAGGACTCAAAAAACCCCCTTTTTTTGCACCAAACTCCATAAAGCACCTAAATCCTAAACCGTACAAACCCGAGACCACATACCCTAAGCCGCACAAGCCCTAAATCACGTAAATCTTAACACCGTACACCATGAAACCCTAAACCCTAAACCCTAAACCCTAAACCCTGAACCCTAAACATCTCTTTTTAGCTTCGCGCCTCGGCACTCCACAGCTTGACGCCCGAAAGGCTCGCTGCCTGGCGGCCCACCTGGGTGAAGATTTGAGCATGATGGGAGCACATATATAACACATACATCCCTAATCATATATCCCTAATCCATAACCCATATAATAACACATACATCCCTAATCCCTAATCCCTAATCCCTAACCCCGAAACAAAAAAAACATACACAGGCGTATACATGTACATCTATTTATGCAGATTTTTGGAACCCAATCAGGGGGCTGAAGTCCGTGTTCCCAAGTTTGGGGCTTGGGTGTTTTTTTGCTTTAGGGTTTATTGAGGGTCTGAAAAGTACAGGATTGCAGGGTGGGTGCAGCGCCCAGTTTTGAAGTCCTTCTCAACTGAGCATGAACCCAAAAGCCCACACTGCTTGAGATCCACCAAGGCTTTTTTGGCGTTGGGCTAAAGCGTTATCAGAATGGCGTGGAGCAAGCAGGCGACGATGGCTTGTTGGTCTTGGTGCAAGTGTGCTTGAAAGCGAACCATGCCTGTCGTCTTTCAGTGGCCAGCCGTAGCCCTAGAAAACTAACTGCCCAAAATGGTATGCGTAATCGTTGTACCTTTCTCAACCCGCAACCGGGACCCTACACCCCAAATAGGTACAACCTACGACACATCGTCCCGGAAATCCGGAGCTTCTCAACAACTGGGGCAACTATAGTGCAGTTCCGACAAGAAGGATCTTTTTGTGGTACGAAAAATGAGAATTGGGGGGCCTATTTTGGGGTTCCTCTCTTCCGCTCTTCCCCTCTTCCTAGAAGGGCTTTCGGCTTGGGGTCAAAAAACAGTGACTTCTGCTTGATGCGCCAAGCCGCTGCGGTGCTCGGCGTACGCTGGCTCAAAGGCACTTGAAAGTCTGCAAGCTCTGCTGCTCCATCGAGGAGCCTGAGCAGATGTTCCAGGTATGGCACTCGATTTCGTTGGTAGTTTGAGATTTTGTGGCTTGCCGCCTAGTTCTCCAAAGCAAGGGTTTTGAAGGATCACGACCCACATCTGGGGAAACCTCGAGCTCATGAGTACTCTGGCCATGGCACCGGCACTGCAAAGTGTGTCCTCGCAATCCCGAGTCGCAGGCAATCTCCTTACTGACTCACGCAGGACGGCAGAGGATGCTACTAAGCTCTTTAAGGGGTTGGCTCTTTGGGCCACGGAAACTCCGGAAAGAAGATGCCCTCACAGATGCCCTCACAGAGGGGCTTTACCTCGAATCCCAGAATCTTAAAGCCAACATCTCGCCACTGACAGTTGGCAAGGCACTGCGTCCACTTCCAGCTTGCCGTCCGCCCCGGCTCGCACCTCTACTTCCGTGCTGGTTGACACAGGTTGGCGCAGTTAGCTGCTTTATCGGCAGGTACTGGCGCTTTCGGCAGGTACCAGCGCGCTTTCTGCGAAGTTGAGGTTCCTTTCTAGTTTGGGTCCATGGGTATCTCTGCAGCATCTGATTGTGACCTGGTCATTGGGATTTCGATGATGTACGGGCTGTGTGTCTACCCGGCATCTTCAGATAGCGCAGCTCCTCATGGAGCATGGTTTAGGGTTGAGGGTTTAGGGCTTAGGTTGGAGGAACCTGAAAAGAAAAGAGACGCTTTGACTTGCAGAGTTTTGATGGCTAAAGATCATGGAGCTGATCAGCTAACCATAACGACTTAAGGTACTTGAGGCCGTTCTAGTCCTCAAAGCCTACAAGCACCCGGCCCTGCTTGTTACTACACCCTGAACCATCTGAACCTAGACTCAGAGCAAACCCTGGAGTTCTATTTGTGGTTTCCGAAAGTTGGGGTTATTTCTTGGGGTCCTTATAAGGGAACCCTACTATTTGGGGGGTCCATATGAGGGGTCCCTCATCTTCGCAAAACCCCCCATTCAGTGCGTCACAGGGACGGCCAGGTCCCGAAGATGCTCCCGTGGCCGGGTGTAAGCATAGACGTCGCGCGTGATTCCAGCAAACCACCACCTACTTGCTGCAATCAGCAAGCGGGGGGAGATTAAAAGGCTTAAGAAGCTTTCTGAAACTCGCTTGGGTGTGAACTCAAGAGCCGGGGTGTCCCGAACTGGACAGCTTAAAGTGCTTGTAGCTCTGTAGCTTCCAAGATCATGACGCTTTGGGATGTTCTCCCCTTATGCTAACATGTCCTGAATAAGGCTTATAATAGGGGGGTTCTACAATCCCTACCTATTCAGGATTGCTAGTATAAGGGGGAACATCCCAAATGATGCTCCAAGTTCAACATCGAGCCGAGGCAAGCGGCTTCAAGCCGTGTGTCGTTTGTCACTTGTTGCAGGATGTTACATGAGGCATATTCCTCTTGGGAACTTTTATTCGGGAGGGAGTCCTGATGTAAAGGATTCTCCCAATCGTGAATGTAGAACCTTCCATCACACTGTCAGCAGTTGGATGAAAGCTGAAGCCTGTACTAATTGCCGGCTAGATTCATGTCCTGGTCTTCCAGGTAGGCAGCAGCCCCCCAGCAAAGGACTTGCAATGCCAAGACGTTGCGTCCAGGACTGGCCAAGGCGACATGTCCCGAGTGCGGGAATGTGATGGAACTAGCGGCACAGGGCGAACATGCAAGGGTTCCGCAGGAAGCTCGAAATGAACAGAGGTGGACGGGGCAAACTTGTTGCGACATGCCGATGACTGCATGCATATACCATATGCTATACTGCACATTCGAGTCCATTATATTAGATACCTTGTTTCGATTTGATGCATTTACATTTTTATATATGCAAATTGTGAACCCATCGCCATGATGTTTTGGATCCCATGCGCCGGAGATGAGGTGTGATGTTGAACTCCACCTCGGCAAGGTCAAAGGTGTCTTGGTCAGACTTCGGGTTTAGGGTTTTCTTCCCACCCGTGTCGCAAGCGTTTACGGGGAAAAGGTCAGGTGTTACAATGGCCAAAGTTCAGGTGGTTCAGATTGCAGACTGCTTCGATTTAGGGTTTTAGGGTTTAGGGTTTGGGGTTTAGGATTTAAGGGTTTAAGGGTTTAAGGGTTTCGACTCTCACACTCGCACAAGGCCGGCAACGCTTCGGTTGGGATCCTCTCTGGTGATGGGTTTAGGGTTTCGGGTTTCGGGTTTAGCGGTCAGACCTGCGGCATGAGAGAAAGCCGTCTAACCATGGGGTGTTTCCCAATCCAAGAAGACAGAAGCATGGCCCTTCGCCTCTGGGGACATCTGTGCTACTGCGAGGAAGCTGTCGAGGTAAAGATTGTGATGAAGGTTTACGCGGCGACGTGTCTACTCCGATTTATAAAGGCACACCAAAGCCGAAGCTAGTCAGCTGTGTTTACGCAAGCGGCTCTTCCCACCTCTCTGCGCGCTACCTGCCACAGCTTGCTGCTTGCAGACGAGACGCCGGCAGCTTGCTGTCGGTGCTGAAGCCCAACTCTTGGCCATTCAGCCAAGCGCGGCATGTGCAGCAGACCGCACCAAGGTGAATGTACACCTGAAGACCGCCTGAGGGAAGGCTGCAACAACCACGAAATCACGCAACATGCGCTTTCAAGCGATGCCTTGCGCAGCTTGGCTCTGTTTCGCGTCTTCCAAGTTTCAGGGATTGGTTTGCTGCGAGGAACATAGGCCCTAAACCCTTTTGAACCCGGACTGGCTCGCTGGGAGGCGGACCGGCAATTTTACCCTAAACCCTTTTTGTTGAAGCCAAACTCTTCAAGTGACCCTAAACCGTAAAATGCAAGCTAAGGTGCTTTCCAGCCAGTCTGGGGGACAGTCGAAGGTCCTCCTGTAGGTTCCTGTCGGATTGTAGTCCTCAAATCCGCATGGTTCCTACTGACATCAGACTCACATCAGATGCCGTTGCATGGGCTAGCAGGTGATCCCGAGACAAGCAGCCGGATCATCTCCGCGATACCTGACGGCACTACCACTTCAAGTAAGAACAAGAACCCTAAACTCTAAACCCTAAACCGTCTAAGCTGGGCTTGATTGACACTAAGATCAAAGCTGGCTGCCTGCCTGATGTTCGGCGGATCAGATTGGAAGATGAAGTCGACCTCATCTGACCACCGCATACCCGACCGCAGTGATCGAATAGTACCCGATCTGGGTAGTGGGTCTTGAGTCTTTAGGGTCCGAGATTCCAGCCCCACAAGACTTGCAAAGAGATGCCTGAAAGCTCTGACGCCGCAGCTTCTGCCCAAGCTCAGGTGTCACCAAGGCGTCCGAGTCACATTTGTGTAGATAGGAAATCCATACCTGGCGAAGGTTTCTTTTTTTGGCATCCGGGTGTCTGCGAAGGCTTCTTAACACCCCCATGAGGCCCTTTTATGTACAAGCGCCATTTGGTCCAAGCACCTGTTATCTAATAGGGTTTCGTGATTCGGGTACCGAGACATGTCTTTTTCAGCAGCACTGGCTCTCTCAAAACCAACTACAGACTCTTTCGTAGATCCACTAGACTCTAACCCTAAACCCTAGACCCTTCTTGACCCCACGAGCTCTGCCCAAACCCTAAACTCTTGTGCTGGGCATGTTGCCCATTCAGCTCCCAATTGCCAGGCACTGGCATGCCAGCCCACGCAGCATCGTCGAAGTCAAAGCGTTCGAAGCCTACTGGCACAGAGAAGCCAAGGGCAAGCCACCGGCCAAGAACTGCCCACTGCAAGTCTCACCAATCTCTCCCAGCAACATCACTACACCCCCCCCCCCACCCCGGGCTCACTTGAACAAAATTGGGTTCAGGGCAACAGCCGAAACCTTCCGGAGACTTGCCAGCACGGGGGCTCCACCTGCGGCTGAGTGGGGACTGCAGCTGGGTCATGTACTCGATATGGGAGTTTCCGACAATAGGGGTACCCTTTTTTTTGGGGGGTTCCTTTGAGGGGATGCTGTTCTATTTGGGGTACAAAAGGGGTACCCCTATTTTGGGTAATACCCATATATCGCCTGTACTCTAACCGACGATTCTGAGGTATCCATGAGGGTGAGAAGTCCGCAGAGATGTCTAAGCTGTTTTCAAGGTGCCGGAGGCGTGATCCGGCAGAGTCACTTGCAGGGAAAGCAGTATGAACACAAGTGGGCTTTTAGTTGATCTAAGGGGTATTGGGGAGGTACACGATTATATAGGGTCTTCAAGTTGGAAGTCTGTACCCTGAAATCTAAAACTTTGGTACACAGGCCCTTTTGTCCCACTGGTTTCAAGTCTAGCCAGTCAGACCGGGAACACCCCCAAGTCGTCAACTGAGTTCCACAACCTTTTTTCAACAAGGGCTCGCTCAAGTGCCTGAAACTCAAACCCTCTTGCACCCCTAAACCCTAAACACCTATGACACTCGATTCAACTCTTGGAAGCCTACCTAACCCGAAACCCTAAACCCTAAACTCTGAACCCGAAACCCTAAACCCTCAAGCCCAAACCCCTAAAACCCAAAACCCCGCCAGGGCACGCGAACTTCCAGGTGCCGTTGAGGTCCAAAAACCGCCGGGACGCCGCGCGCGGCGCCCTTCGAAGAGCCAACTCCTCTATAGCGCGAGGCTCCGACAGCCCGTGGACAAATCCCCATAAGAGTCCCACCTACGCAGATACCCCACACCCTAAGCCCTAAACCTTTTTTTTTTTGCATCCGGGCTCTACGCGATATCTGCCGGAACCCAAAGAGTCAACCCACTCCCTAAACCCTAACCCCTAGAAGTCCTAGGGCTGCGACTCTCACACTGGCACGAAGCGGGCCAGGCAGCGGGTGGACACGTGCAAGGGTTTAGGGCTTAGGGACCTTTAGACTTGTAGGTTGGGATGTTCCCCCTTGTACTAACAGTCCTTAATAGGGATTATTTTCGGGGGTACTCGAATCCCGATAAAGGACTGTTAGTATAAGGGGAAATATCCCAACTTGTAGGGGTAATCGAAGTTGCCTTGCAGTTGAATTTAGGGGGAGGTGACTATCGGGAGAGGGCGCCAACGAAACAGCCGCAGAACCCACGGATACCCCAACATTCAACTTTTGTCAGGGTTTAGAGGGTTTTATAGGGTTTTGTAGGGTTGTGGGGCTAATTAGGGTTCCCAGTAGACTTGCACTCCATGCGAGCTCCTCGCTCTCATACGCAAAGAAGTCGGCACGCGGCGGCTCGCGTCCGCGACCCACAGCAGCAGGGTCGAAACACTCGGAGCAGTCCATGTTCAACAGTGATGTGCTTTACAATATACCAGATGTTCAATGGGTTGGCCAGGCGAAAGCTTGAAAAGCAGCTGCCATTCATTCGTGGGCTTACAGTAGGGTTTGCAAACTTCTTAGCGAAGCTATGCCAGATGCATAGGGCACACATGTACCAGTATGTATGTAAGACTTGGCTGCGGGGACAAGACCGTGCTGCGGCACATGCTTCTATGCCAAATATGAGGTCAGATGCAGTCAATAGCACCCTCGAACCTCACATTGTGAGGCACCATAGATGTTTGCTTCTCACCGCGAGCGTCCTCCCTTGAAACAGGCCAAGGAAGCAACTCGAGCGACTCATAGTGACTCTAGTTGAGTGATGGCACCTGTCGGGCCCTCATGGCCGCGGTCTGTGCCCAAAACCGCTTTGCAAAAGGCCGTGCTTGAAATCACTTGGCAGCCTCCAGAATGGATGCTAGCTTTTGGGCCAGCATCATGTTGCCCTTGATCTTCAGCTTGCCGCCCATGAAAGCCTGCATACCATCCAGCTTGCCTTCTGCCATGGACACCAAGTCCGCATCCGCCATGATAATGGTGCAGTCCTCGGTTTGTCACTCGGAAAGAACTTTCGGAAGACTGCGCAGCATCCGGAACCACGTGCTGAGCATGGCGTGACCTCAAATTCAGGCGCGCTAAGTTGCCGGCAGCACTGCTCTCCTCGCCAGCCTTGGCTGAACCGCTGCCGTTCTTCAGGTCCAGGACGAACTTGCCCTCGGGGCCGGCGTCGCTGATGACGAACTGGAAGACCTCAGCAGAATAGCTGCATGAGACCGTGTCCCTCCCAACCCCTGGGTCTAAGCCGAATCTTGCCAGGTCCAAGATCGTCCGAGCCGCTGCCCCGCCGAGCTTCACCAGCTCGGGCCCCTTGGCCTTCACTGCCGCAGACATAGCGTCAAACAGGGCCTGGGACTTCATCGTGGCTACCGAGTCTGTGGATGCAAGCGTCGCGATCTCAAACAGCTGTAGCACAACGGTGAAGTTGATGCGTGGCAGCATCTGGGACATGTTCGAAGCCCAACAAGTATCCAAAATAAACACTCGCAACAATGTATACAGAACCGCTTGTGAACGCCTCCGTAACTGACACCAAATATACAACTCACTTCGTGTGATTTTGCACAAACGCCACAAGATCTGGGTGCCCTCCGACATTTGGAGTTGCCCGGACTAATGCAAGTTCTGCACAAAACTATGAGCGACGCGCTTTCAAATCTTGGCGTCGCAACCGAGCCAGGACAGGAATCGTAGCTGCTCACTTGGCAGCCTCCAGGATGGATGCTAGCTTTTGGGCCAGCATCATGTTGCCCTTGATCTTCAGCTTGCCGCCCATGAAAGCCTGCATACCATCCAGCTTGCCTTCTGCCATGGACACCAAGTCCGCATCCGCCATGATAATGGTGCAGTCCTCGGTTTGTCACTCGGAAAGAACTTTCGGAAGACTGCGCAGAATCCGGAACCACGTGCTGAGCATGGCGTGACCTCAAATTCAGGCGCGCTAAGTTGCCGGCAGCACTGCTCTCCTCGCCAGCCTTGGCTGAACCGCTGCCGTTCTTCAGGTCCAGGACGAACTTGCCCTCGGGGCCGGCGTCGTTGATGACGAACTGGAAGACCTCAGCAGAATAGCTGCATGAGACCGTGTCCCTCCCAACCCCTGGGTCTAAGCCGAATCTTGCCAGGTCCAAGATCGTCCGAGCCGCTGCCCCGCCGAGCTTCACCAGCTCGGGCCCCTTGGCCTTCACTGCCGCAGACATAGCGTCAAACAGGGCCTGGGACTTCATCGTGGCTACCGAGTCTGTGGATGCAAGCGTCGCGATCTCAAACAGCTGTAGCACAACGGTGAAGTTGATGCGTGGCAGCATCTGGGACATGTTCGAAGCCCAACAAGTATCCAAAATAAACACTCGCCACCATGTATACAGAACCGCTTGTGCACGCCTCCGTAACCGAAACCAAATAGACAACTCACTTCGTGTGATTTTGCACAAACGCCACAAGATCTGGGTGCCCTCCGACATTTGGAGTTGCCCGGACTAATGCAAGTTCTGCACAAAACTATGAGCGACGCGCTTTCAAATCTTGGCGTCGCAACCGAGCCAGGACAGGAATCGTAGCTGCTCACTTGGCAGCCTCCAGAATGGATGCTAGCTTTTGGGCCAGCATCATGTTGCCCTTGATCTTCAACTTGCCGCCCATGAAAGCCTGCATACCATCCAGCTTGCCTTCTGCCATGGACACCAAGTCCGCATCCGCCATGATAATGGTGCAGTCCTCGGTTTGTCACTCGGAAAGAACTTTCGGAAGACTGCGCAGAATCCGGAACCACGTGCTGAGCATGGCGTGACCTCAAATTCAGGCGCGCTAAGTTGCCGGCAGCACTGCTCTCCTCGCCAGCCTTGGCTGAACCGCTGCCGTTCTTCAGGTCCAGGACGAACTTGCCCTCGGGGCCGGCGTCGCTGATGACGAACTGGAAGACCTCAGCAGAATAGCTGCATGAGACCGTGTCCCTCCCAACCCCTGGGTCTAAGCCGAATCTTGCCAGGTCCAAGATCGTCCGAGCCGCTGCCCCGCCGAGCTTCACCAGCTCGGGCCCCTTGGCCTTCACTGCCGCAGACATAGCGTCAAACAGGGCCTGGGACTTCATCGTTGAAGCAGCTTGGTCCAAGGAAGGCTTTTTCAGAAGGATGGGATCCTGAACGGCTACGGATGAAGCATTTCCATTGCAGGAATCCCAGCTACCCGGTAAACTGCAGAGAGCATGGGGCACGTGGATCGCGCAGTCAGAAACAAGTGGAACGAACCCACCTTACACCCTAAGTCTACCTTTGACCCTCTTCTTTATGCGATCCTAAACTCACTCGCTGGGCAGTTCTCAGCTGGTCACCGGAGACCCCAACAATGCCGAGGTCCGGGCGACTGCGCAGCACCTCCAATCAACTACGGGCGGCACAGACCCTGACAAAGACTAGATGCCAGGAAGGAATGTGTCGCCATATTTAGATCGATGTCTTGGCGTGAAGATCACAGCATCCATCTGTATTCAAGCAAGCCCCCACAAGGCAACCAAAAACGCAAGGCTGCGAAACCACTGGGTGCTGCTTCATGGACATGCCACCACTGAAGCTGCTGAGATCACCGCCCGCGTCAACTTGGAGACCTCCACCTACCAGGCTCAGGAGTGTCGCAACACGGAGGCAGGTAGCCCGAAAGCCTATAAAATGCCAAAAACACTGCCCATGAGGTTTTCCGTTCACCAGAACCAGGGAGGGAGCAGCGCCCATCATTTGCGAACCGATAGCTGCGACTGCTCTGAGCACTTCCAGGCAGCTGTGCTTCGCAGATCTGCCCCAGGCCCCAAGCCACGTACATTCGAACAAGCGCCAGATCTTCGCAAGCTGAGAGCAGCACGAAGAAGTGTGTCTGTTCATGCTCGTTCGCATGTCGCTCGTGTAACTTTCTGATGCAGATAAGCAAAGGTAGGCGTGCCGATTTGCGGAGATCTTGCGATTTCTTCCACGGCTCGCTTTGGAGTGTGGTTCCCATAGACACAGTTAGCTGTGCAAGTGTTAACTATTGTACCTCAAGCTTCTTTGGGACCCCGGCATCCACATGGACATCACTTAGCTCTATACTGAAAAGTGGTAGCCACCGAGAAAAATCCATCCGAGGTACAATGCCGCTACCTCCGGTAACGCTGGCACCGGGCAGCAATCTCCAGCTACAGGCCTGGAGCCTCAAAGGATAGGACAAGACATCTGTGTAGCCAGTCCGGCCGTCTTCTGAGAAGTAAAGTCCACCACTCAAGTTAGGCAAGGTCACGTCGACCTCAGTCGGGTGATTTCGCACGTTGAGCCCAAGGCTGATGGCACAATTGCTATGGCCACGACTTCTTCAAAGTGGGCGAGCATGTGTATGTGTATATGTGTATATATACAGAAAATATATACATATATATTCCGTATACACATTTGTATTTCAAAATACATATGTATTTCTATATGCTACGTATATTATTTATTTATGATTATGTGGTCCACCCCCTTCCCCCCGCCGACCGCAGGAAACACAGGAAGTACCGGTGAAAACGCATTGCTACTTTTGCATATGAGGGTTTAGGGATTAGGGCTCAGGGTGCATGAGTGCTTGTGGAGCGCTTGTTGAACAGAGAGGCCACTGCTGTTTGTGTTTTGCCAAAGGCGCTTTCGAGATTGGGGAATGCCTGTTTGCTTTTTTGCCTTTTGCAAGCAAAAAACCAAAAACAACCGAAACACCAAAAAACGAAAAAAACAAAAAAACTGGCTGTAATCCTCTGGGTCTGTAGAATGGTCTTACTATGGTCTTCCATTTTTATGTGCTAACAATCCTCAAAAGGGATTAAAACAGGGGGCACTATAATCCCTAATAATAACAGTTAGTAAAAGGGGGAACATCCCAAGTTGTTCTGCTTTCTGTGGTTTTGCTGGATGTGGGAGTCTTCCGAAGCAAGTGTGTGCTGCTCCGTTGCAGACATGTGCGGTACATGAGGAATACTCCATTTATGTCATGAAACACGACAGCGATTACATAGAAAGGTGATCCTGGTGGATGACAAAGAAAAACTAAACAAATTCAAAATAAATAAGTTAATATGTGTATATTCATTTATTTGTCTATTTAAATATAAATATAAAAAAATAAATAACTACATATATTACAAATGTATTTTTTTTTTTACGGCTACCCCCGCCCTCAAGGACGTACTCTTTCTTTGTTTTTGTGTGACTGAGCCATATATGTATACATCTGCTTCGTACCCCTCTGTTGTCTGCCTTTTTGTTGGTGTCTAAGCTTATTTTCTACGGGTGCTATGACGACGCGTGGTTTTGTCTGAGAAGCGTGCGCAAGCGAAATGATGAAGTTGCCAGACGTTTTATGTGAAAACAGCATATGTGGCGCCAGCGTTTAGAAGACCTATGTAATTCATAGATTTTTGTTAAGAGCGCATGGCCTCTAGCTTCAATAGTTTTCATATACACGAAAAGTAATCAGTAAAGCTTTCTCACCTTAGTACTTCTATCACTACCCGGCCATCTTGTTTCTAATCTTAGAGTTGGGGTCAGAGTTACGATGACAAATGAAAGAAGCTGTGCGAAGTCGGCACTCCGCAGGGGCTTTGGGCAGGACAACCAGCATGCGCAACGAGCGGCGCGTGAAATGGGCTTCTGCAAGGGCACACTGCAGTGCCGAATGAAACAGTTGAATCCTCAAGGTCAAAACCTGGGGTTGAGCAGGGGGTGTTGAACATAGTCCTGTGCGAGGCCTGCACGAGGTTAGGCTCCAGGACTGGCCCCAAACTGGCCCCAAACCCCAAGGCGGCAACCCAAATGTAAGATCACACGGAAGATCCATCCCTGAATCCCAATTAAACTAGATTGTGTAGAACTCGTATAAGGAAATTCAGCCAGAGAGGCACCTCTCCTTGCTGAAGTTAGAAAAGCCTACTGCCACTGCAATCCAAGAACCCCATTGTCACGCTAAACTAACTTTGGTAGTAAGAGTATGATCCCATGAGTCCTGTTTATGACCAAAAGCCATTTGTGAATTCGACTTAGAGAGCAAAAGTAGGTCCTAGCTGCAGAAAACCAGGCCCCTGACTACAATAATTCACAAGCATGTGGCACGCCGGTTCTCCCAGTAGCTGTGCTTCATTCTCTTCCCATATGCCCGGCCACTGAAATCGTAAAACGATGTCTGACTGATATTTGACCTCCAGTCAGTCATTTACATTTGTAACCTGGAAGGGTGGAACGAGATGATTAAAAGAACTCTTCTATGAGCTTTAAGACGAACATACAGTGCACGTAATATGGATGTATATGTATATATATATATATAACACGATATGTGGCTCGAGTTTGTTGTATTTAGGGTTAATCTCCAGTCTTCAAAACGAATGGTCTTTGGCTAAAAAACATCCATTTGCACGAGGTAAGCTTAACAACAATACGCTCAGTCATACTTGTTCGCTCAGGTTCAAGCTGTAAAGAACGCAACTGTTTACAGAAGGTCAGCTTGTACTGGTTACTTAAACTGCTTATACTATTACCAATTACCAGGCCATTTAGCTTTAAGTGGTAGAGTCAGGCGTCAGGCCTACGAACAACATTGTAAAAAACCCCTTCATATTCTTCCCATATTCCCTGGCCAAAACCGAATTTTCGCTCATTCAGAGAATTATAGTCGGCCTCCAAGAATGCTACTCATGAAGGTTGGATCACGAGTATATACTTGGTAAGTTTATGACCATGCAAGTTTATGCGTTTACCAGGGGAGCGTATTCTTTACGCTACCAGCCAGCCATGTGTTTTGTTGAGTAGTGAAGGCGACTATCCGCTGTAAGTACAAAAGGAAGAAGCTCGCCTCTGATTCCTAAGAACAAAACCCTAAACCTCTAAACCCTAAACCCTAAACTGCTCGCATCGGTCCGGTAGCTGTCCTTCCCTTGGGATGTTCCCCCTGATACTAACAGTCCCTAATGGGGATCATAGTACCCCCTTATTCTAATCCTCATCAAGGACTGTTAGTTGGGATGTCCCCCCTTGTACGAACAGTCCCCTTCCTATAAAGGACTGTTAGTATAAGGGGAACATCCCAAACTGTTAGTATAAGGGGGAACATCCCAATCCTTCATTCTCTTCCGATGTGCCCAGCCATTTAGTTTCGAAATGGAGACGACGTTGAGGTCGTTCCAATGTTTTTGGAAGGCATGCCCACAAAAACATCGGTAAACCAAAGCTTTTTGCGAGGCCACCCTCAGGAAAAAAACAAAAACACATTGTTCTCGCCAGCATGCCTTCAACAAACATCGGTAAAACCAAAGTTTTTGGAAGGCCACTCTCAAAAAACAATCGGAAAACCGATGTTTCTGCGAGGCCACTCTCGGGAAACGTCGTTGTTTTTTGAAGGAAGCCTTTCGAAAACATTGGTAAAACCAATAGTTTTGAAGGCAGGGCGAATCCTAAACTCTGAATCATATATCTATATCTAAATATAATTTCTACATATAGTGGCATGCATGCATGTGTTGTGTGTTGTTATGAGTCTCATTCTTTTGTCACATTCTGTAAAATATATACACCTCACCCCACCCCCACCCCTCACCCCCCCCCCCCCTTCCCCCCGCCAAAAAAGAAAAAGCCTCGAGGTCAACACGAAGCAAAACCCCAACATCCAAAGTTTTCGGAAATCTGGGCAGGTTTGGATTTCTGTTCCGGGCTTAGGATTTAGGGTGATCCTGGCTGATGCGACAAGTACAGCTGTCTGTGCCCAGCCGCTGCGCTGCTATCCTTGCCCGGCCAAGGCAAATGGCCCACAGTGACGCGAGCACTGCGATCCACGCGACCCAAAGGCCCGCAGCCGTCCCCGATGTGTACGAGCGGGGCGTAACCAAAACCCAGCACCTTTCACAACTTGGTTTAGGGTTTAGGGTTTGGGGTTTTATGGTTTAGGGTTACACTGAAACCTTAGAGGATGTGATCCGAATCACTCCTGGTCAAACTTGAAAACTACCGTTTTTCCATGCGGCCTTCCCATCCTCTGCTGAAGTCTCCATGCTGATGTCACCTTACTTTGCACGCTCGGTCCGGGGACATCAGGTCGTCAATTGCTATGGCTAGTGGCATCTCTCAACGATCCTAATGTCCCCCAAAAGTGAAAACCCTAGAAGCCTGTCTTCATGAGTGTGACCCTGTCTCATCCCAGTCTCTTTGACGCTGCTGACTCTGAAAGACTCCTTAGCGCATTAGTCAATCGTGATAGTACTCCGCAATCGTGATGGTACTGTTAAAAGTTTGTGATGAGCGATGAAGAATTAGCAGCTGGTATGCAGTAACTTTCGTAACAGTAAAAGTAGTAGGAAAAGGTACTAGCCAAAAAAGTAGATGCGAATAGTAATAAGAATAAGTAATCGCAGAGGATATAGTAATAGACATAGAAAATATCATAGAAATCGTAATTCGTCGTCGTCGTAGTAGTAGTAGTAGAAGGAAGAGGAAGAGTCGTAGTCGTGATGGCAGTAGTGCTGGTGGTAGTATTGCCGGTAGTAGCATTCAATAGTCGTAATACACTAATCGCAAGTCATAAGTCGTACTCATGGAAGTGTACAAAAACTGCAGGGCTATATCTGACCAGTCACACTGTGAGGTGGGCAATCCCCACACCTGGCGGCCCCCCTCGCACGAAGAAGTGCTGTCCACCCAAACATGAGAGGCCCAAGCACCCCAGGCGCCCGCAGCTAGTACGAGACTGCTCAGGAGGCCGACCTGGTTTGGGGTTTGGGGGTTTAGGGGTTTAGGGGTATAGGGGTTGAGGGTGTATATAGGGTTTAGGGTACCTGAATGACTGAGAAATTGGGGATCGCTACCCCGAGCGCTACAAAATTGGGCTAACACGATTCGAAAAAGTCTGACAGGAGTCAGAGTAACCCCAACACACCCCAAAGCAGGCTTTCGATGTAGTCAGTGACGGATGCGATGATTAACAATGAGTGGTCCTCCATTCCTATACTACTATCTTGTCACCCAGAAGCCGGCCTCCATGTACTTGCCAAAGGGGCTCTCATCCCACTCAATGGCAAAACTGCCACCAATGGTCCAACCCAGGAAATTCAGAGAGAGCACACCAGGGGGAAGGCCCGGTCCCGGGATGCCAGCGCTGGAAGGCGCAGGTTGTGGGACAATGCTCAGGTGGAGCACCGCACGGCAGGCGTGCAGGCGCACCCCTTCCAACTCCTGGCAGGGGCTGTCTGCTCTAAAGAGGCCAGATCTCAATCGGGCCGGGGCCAGGGAGTTACATACCTTCTGTCCCCCTACAAAGCCCTGTAAGGGCTTCTATAGGATTGCCGAACTTCCTAATTCCCTACTAAGAACCAGGAACTGAAGGCAGCAACAAACTTCAGCTGCTTGTCAGTTCCTGCGCGGCTGCTCTGCGCCCAGACAGAGGCCGGCGCGCGCCAGGACGATTCTCGCACGCCAGGAAGCTTCTTGGGGATCCCAGGAGAGCCTCTGCTATTGTTCATTCTTGTTAGTATGGTTTAGGGTTCAGGGCTTAGTATGACCATCATGACCGTTGTCGTTGCTATTTTCCGAATTATACGTACATGCACACGATTCTTGAGGATCATAACAACAAAACATAATGCCAAAGCCTAAGCCCTAAACCCATAGAGTCGGAAGTCTTCTTTGAGCTGCCTAGCTGCTTGGCTGCTAGGCCACCACATGTGGAGGTTTCCGAGAATAAGGGTACCTTCTTGGAGTCCTCATTTTTCAGGGAATCCTACTATTTGAGATTGAAATTGGGGGGTTTCCAATTTTTTCGTAAACCCATGTTACATGAGCCATGAAGGAAATAACGGAAGAATAAATATTGGGCCCGGTCTGTTCCCAGACTCTGGCCAACCCAAGACACAAGGTGCGACTTGGGATGTTCCCCCTTATACAAACAGTCCTTAACAGGGATTCTAGTACCCCCTATGAGAATCCTTGTTAAGGACAGTTAGTTAGTAGAGGGGGAACGTCCTAAGGTATGACCACCGTGCCATTGTATATGCAGTAGTTTGGTAGAACCAACCATTTTGCCCCGGCAACCGGAGCTCTCCAAATTTGACCCTACAACCATATGTAAACGAACATGACATGCGCCAGGGCATGCGAAAAGATTTCAAGGTGGAACCATGCTGGCGAAAAGCATGTCGTTTCACATCCCGGGGCCGAGCTTGTGATTGTCGATTTCTTTCAGGAGTGAGTGCGTCCCTGTCCGGGGTCTCAGAAATTTCCGGATTCTGGTCTTACCTGGTCTTACACGACGGGCTGCCGAGACCCTGACGATCGTCGTGAATCCTTGTGCTGTCTGGCAGCGCAAGCTGCCACGGACGTCAACACCATCAAGCGCATTCGACTCATGGGACTGCGCAGTCTGCGGCTCCAAACTGGCGCTCAGAGGATGCCAGCAGTCAGCATCAGGCAGTCAAGCAGTCATGAGATTGTTACACTTCTGTGTCTTGATCGCGTACAGACTTCACTGAAGTTCAAACCCTAAACCCTAAACCCTAAACCCCAAACCCTAAACCCTAAACCCTAAACCCCAAACCCGAAACCCTAAACCCTAGAACGAGGTGGTACTTTTGGTTTCCAGCTCTGCATTTGCCTTGAGCCAGCCCACATGGCGAGAGCCCCGGTTTGGCATAAACCTCCTTTACGGTTTAGGGTTTAGGGTTTAGGGTTTAGGGTTTAGGGTTTAGGGTTTAGGAAACAACCTCCCAAAAACTCAGAGGCAAGCAAGCATCACTAAGGAACTGGTATGATTACGAGCGTCTTACTATTCATTTTCATTAACATTACATCTATACATAAATAAATATACATATATATATATATATATTCTGCAACTTAAGCAAGCCAGGACCAGCAACGCAGCTTCTGAGCCCGCAGCAGTGCAGCAAAGCCCTGGCCTTTAACTTTCTTGCACAGCTTTTGTAGAAACGAATTCCATGCCCTGCAGCTACCAAAACGCCTAAAAAAAAAGTCTTGGCCGCTAGCGGCTTGCAAGTCTTCTGCTCTGGAAATGACCGGAAAGCCGGCCATCCCTAAAACCCGGATGCTCTGTTCTAAACCCTAAACCCGAAACCCTAAACCCTAAACCCTAGAGAGGCCCTTATATCGTCCCGAGAGCAACTTACTTGCACCCTCAGACCGCGCTAGGATGTGAGGCTGTGCCTGCTTCCGCACTTTGGGCAGGCGCTCTCATTCCAGGAAGAAGCGACTAGGGCTTGAAGCCATGATGACATATGAAATGCAGCATCCCAACCCAAGTGCTTGCAGGCCAAGGCAGAGCCGCACGTCGAGATACTGATAGGATCTCTTGCACGAATGGACCGACGTGACGTCGCCAAACCTAGCACGGCCTTCGGACAAAAAGCAAGAGACCGTCTTTGTGGATCTCTGCCACTTCTGTACAGAAAGGGAAGTAACTCAATACGAGCGCAGCCTGCTTCGCTGACTTTGTGCAGCAGGGCCGCAAGGGCCCGTCGCACTCTTCCGTAGTGGGCCGCCGCGCAGAGCACTACTGTATGCTCTATAGTCGTTGCCCTTTCTACACCTCATCCTGCTCGAGGTACAGCATGAAGAACGAATGGTATGTAAAGGTCACGATTTCGCACCCCATTCTACGTAGATCGCCTGCAAAAGAAGGAAGAATGCCGGCCGCAAGAGCCGTGCGCCCTAAACCCTAAACCCTAAACCCTAAACCCTAAACCCTAAACCCTAAACCCTAAACCGCTGATCTGTGGCGTGAGGCTTCCAAGCGCCACGAGTCTACGCGCTGCGGAGCAGCCCTCAGGGCTTGCCTACAGCCACAAGAATTGGGCCACGCGTCAATGCCGAGGTGTTCATCTTCTATACAGAAATATAAAGACATAAACATAGATCTTTTTGTAAATATACAGCAATGTACGCCAATACGCTTAATTTGTGTAGCCGACATACGTGCATGCAATATTAAACGGCCTTACAGGCAGCCGCATTTTGACACGCGGCTGGCAGGAGAGATATCGATGCTCAGCCAGTCAGGGCCTCGACCTGCGCAAGCGCTTGCGGCAGCTCCGTCATGCCGTACTCTCTGCCTTGGTCTCGGAGGATTCAGGTTCCTAGGTTCTAGGGTTTAGGAGTTTAGGGTTGAGGATTGAGGTTCTCGTTTTTGCCATGTGCTTAGCTGACTGGAAGACGCACTTGCAGGGGCTACACTCGGTACTCAAAAAAAATCGTTCAAAGATAGGGTGTTGGGTGTGTGTCTGGGGAAACGAATGTAAATTGAAAACGGGATGCCTGTGAATGACAAAAATGTTGTGTTGGCTGAATTTAGGGTTTAGGGTTTAGGGTTTAGGGTTTAGCGACACAAGCCCCATGTGCCGCCCAGGCTGCCAGCTGGCCGAATCTCTCGGTCAATCGTGACCAGGCCCCACCACTCCTGCTTCTGCCACACGGATGCCTATGGTACCTTGTGCACCCACCCTTGATGCATAACCCTTTTTGACCCCCTATATATGCCATATATAGTCCTCATATACCTAAGTAGCCCCCTGGATAACATCTAAATAACCCCCTCCTGTAGTCCCTTGACAAGCTCAACAACTCCTCAGAACCCATCCGGCCCCGGAAACATGCACATCGCAAAAACGTTTTCTCTCCAGGATCCTCGTTGAAGGTTCTGTCCGGGTAGGGGCCACCGCCAGGGGCCACGCCGCCCGTGTCGTGATCGTCAGGGCTGCCGTCATTGTCTTTGTGCCACTCGTCATCTTGGAGAGGGTACCCCTAAACCCTAAACCCTAAACCGTAGCTTAGGAGTTGTCCGATTTGTACGGGCGGGGGTGTCAGCATGTTGGCTCGGTGCACCGTGATGACAGAAACCGCCCCCTGAGTGAGCCTTCTGGCTGCATGTAAACCCGTTTTAGAAACCAGTTTCGGACAAGCTAGCTGGGAGCAGCAACAAATCCTTTTGCAGCAGGCTTGCAGCAACAAACCCTAAACTAAGCCCTAAGCCCTAAACCCTAAACCCTAAACCACGCATCCTTAGCCATCCAAACAACTCACTTCCATCAGTTGAGCCACTGAATTCGAAGACGAAGCCGCCGATGCAAGAGCCACCTGTTGTTGAGGGTTTAGGGTTTAGGGTTTGGGGTTTAGGGTTTGGGGTTTAGGGTTTGGGGTTTAGGGTTTGGGTCTTAGGGTCATTGGAACTCTTGGACTGGAAATTCCACTTTGTTGACACCGCCTTGACAAATTCTGCAGTACTGATCAACTCTGCCAGGCCACGGGCAAGTAAACATTGAAAACCGGCTCCACACACCCACGAGGTTTCAACTACAAACGGCTTCTGAAGACCAACGCTGCACAGATTCCTAAACCCTAAGCCCTAAACCCTTTTGCAGCCCTCTGTATACATCAACATCATAATCATCCCAAGCAGCGATTCAAGACAGAGCTGTGGCCGATGATTTCTTCCTCAGGGGGAGAGGCTGCTATTTGCCCAATCGCTCTGAGGATCCTGCGTAGATTCCACTGTTGAGGGGCTTATGTTGTGAGCTCGGGACCTCCAGACGAAGCTGCCACCAAGGAACCGTGAGCTCCTTGGTCGCCTTGGCCTGGGACTCACGGTCCTCACCGGGAATCTTGGAGTTGTAGGCATCGGCACCATACTCGCCTGGGGGGGGGGGTTAGGGCTTTGGGTTTCTGGGGTTTCTAGCCTTTGTTGCGTTTTGTGGGGTTTTCAGGGTTTGTAGGATTGTCAGGGTGCTTAGGGTTTCTAGGGTTGAGGGCTAATAATCACTCACGCTCGGGGGATTCGAGGCGCACACCCCTCAGAAGTCCGTGCGACGGACCCCAGTTTTCGTGCCTTCATGACATGGAGAAGTGCAGACTCGCGGCCTAAGTACATGGGCTTGCCGGTAATCCCGTCGTACTGGTTGAACATGTTGCCGAAACCTGACATGAGCTCGCGGCAAAACCTAGGGGCTGGGACCAGGACTGAGACATTTCATTGAGGGTATCGGGGTTTAGGGTTTGGGGTATTGCTTTCTCAATCGACACCGTGATATCTGGCTCACATTTGGGGTTAGGTATCGCTTCCACAGCAAATTTGCAAATGTTCCGCCCAAGGCAACCTAGAGAGGCGCGGGATTCAGCCCGCTCACATGCTGAGCTCGACTTGTAGGACGGCGCGCCCTTGATTTGCAACCCGGTCTCAGTGGAACGCCCGACAAATGTAAACCTGTCTGGTCACCCAACCTCCGAAGCCCAAATGACCTCCTAAACCCTAAACCCTAAACCCTGAACCCTAAACCCTAAACCCTAAACCCTTTGGGTTGTTAACCCTAAACCCTAAACTCTAAACCCTAAACCCTAGACCCTAAACCCTATAAGCCCTACGCGATGCAGCGTGCCCAGACTGGCAGCTGATTCCACGGTAGGCGTTGATGCCCCAGACATCAATCTCCGGTAGCGCCTCAGAGGCCTGGTCCAGCTTCCCGGGCAGGGTTTAGGGTTTAGGGTTTAGGGTTTAGGGTTTAGGGTCTAGGGTCTAGGGTCTAGGGTCTAGGGTTTAGGGTCTAGGGTTTAGGGTTTAGGGTTTAGAGTTTAGGGTTTAGGGTTTAGGTTTTTTTCCCACCCGTGTCGCATGCGTTACGGGGAAAAGGTCAGCTTGCACTATAGCCCAAAGTTCAGGTTGTTACTTGAAAGTGCTTGAAGGGTGTTGTCATCGGGCATGGTTTTGGGGGAGAGGACCCAGTGCTACCAAAATCGCCCCGACTACATCCTTCGTGTGCTCATCATGTGCAATGCTCACTGGATAGCAGACCCTGTGTACACACGACAACCACCTGCACTGTGAAGACATCCCGTATCCAGTGAACCTGTTCTTCCCTCGCCGGCCTATTCACCCACAAGGCACATAACATGAGGTCTACCAAAGGGAACATCACATGGGGACGGCCGGGTGTATCAGCCCTACCCCCTAAACACGTACTGAAAATGAACTTATAAGCCCCCTAGGTGCCCTAATATGGTAAACAGTACAGTTATAAGTACAGTTAATATTGGCCAAGAAGTACCACTGACCATGAACCTCCAAGCGTATGCCCTTCGGCCCCCTATGATAAAGGTTCAGGGTTTTCAGGGTTTTCAGGGTTTAGGGTTTTAGGGTTTAGGGTTTAGGGTTTAGAGTTTTAGGGTTTGGGGTTTCTCCGGTTCTTGGGTTTAGGGCTCAGGGTTTAGGGCTAGGGCCTGGTCCAGCTTCCCGGTGTCCCCGTAAATCGAGGAGATGGGGTGGTCCGTGTCCAGCCTGAGCTCGGCCCAGTAGCTTCGGTATAAAGGCAATACTATCTACAAATAACAAAGTAACAATCATAAGTATAAGAACAAGAAGAATAAAAACACACTGATGACATAGCAATATAGATGGCACAATGACCATACTAACAAGAATAAGAACGTAAGAATAATAATCAGAATCATATAATGGCAATGCAATAGTAATATGGGTGGTATAATGATGTAGTGACACAACGATTAAAATGATGAAGGACTTGCATTGCAAGGGATGTCAGGTACTGGCCCGCTTCGGAGATTTTTGTTCAGCCAAGGCGCTGCCTCACAACCTCCGCCACATCGCGGATTTTGGCGATGCAGTCGAAGAAGCTCATGCCCACATAAAGGCCGTTGTAGTTCCACTCGTTTCCTCAGCTCCCGGGTGGTTCTAAGCTCCTCAGCAGCCCCCCGCACTTCGAGCGCCCGCAAGCGAGACAGAATGTGGCCGGGCGGCCGATGGACCACATCAAGATGGCCGGATGATCCTGCAACAGACAATGGGTTCCCCCCACCCCCTTCTATACTACCCCCAAGGTTCCCCCCATAGTTAAGGCTATGTAGGGCTAAATAAGCCTAAATAAGGTTATTAAGGGGGGGAAGGGGGGGGCGGGGGGAATAGCTTGGGCCTCTGCCTCATGCCTGAGAGGCGTCAAGTCGGTTTTGGAAGGAAGGAAAAACGCACGGACCAGCTTGCGAGGCCCTTGCAGACTTTGCAGAGTTGTAGACCGTGCTGACAGAGTCCAAACCACTATAGTACCCAATTAGGGTGTTCAAAACCACACTGACCTTGACGTGTCGCGCACGAATCATGCTGTGCTCCACCGAGACCGCTTGCTCAGGGAAGAAGAACAAAGGCAGGCACGAGTGCAGGTTGCCGGCATCAAGCAGCGATGGTCAGATGGGAAAACGTGTTTTGACTTGAAACCCCACCCCAGCTAAGAGCGCTGACAGTGGCAAAGGGCCATGAGGGCTTATTGGGGATTCAGGCGAGAACCACTAGCCCACGGCCTCCCCTCTCGCCCTGATTCCCCGCCCCTCCCGCTCCCCATCCGGGCCTTCACAGCCTTCACAGGGTCTGCAGCGGAGTTTGCTGCGGCACCGCCCCAGTTGTAGACGCTGTTCACCACCCAGATGCCTGCAGCAGGAGCCCGGGGCGGGTGCAGATCAGGATCCAATTCATGGTTGGCAAGAACCTCGAGGAGCATACTATCCGGTTCGTTTGGTCCCAAGGAAGTCCACCCATGAGCCTTAGTATGGAGCCAGGGCTGCTGCACCGTTTAGGGTTTAGGGTTTAGGGTTTAGGGTTTAGGGTTTAGCCTCTGACGAGGGGGGGTGGGGAGGTTCTTTTAACCTTGCAACGCCAAGGATCAACCTGCTTCAACATTCCATTAGCCCGTCCTTTCCACCTCATTGTCACGAAGTGGTCTGTAGCTGTAAGTAGAGCTGTGGCAAACAAAGCGTGTGGCAACACCGGCATGCCCAAGTCGAGCCCAGCTACGGATCCAAGACGAACCTAAACCCAAACCCTATAAACCCTATAAACCCTATAAACCCTATAAACCCTATAAACCCTATAAACCCTATAAACCCTATAAACCCTATAAACCCTATAAACCCTATAAACCCTATAAACCCTATAAACCCTAAAAACCCTATAAACCCTATAAACCCTAAACCCCAAAAACCTTTGACCAGCCAGTGGATGCCAGTGGCATCAGGCCTCGTCGCCAAAGCGTGTCAAGGATCCATTTTTCGGTGATGGGCTCATAGGTGCGAACCTTGCTTGGGGCTCAAGAGCCCAGGTTTTGTTGGGGGGTTTAGGGTTTAGGGTTTAGGGTTTAGGGTTTGGGATCTCTGTCACTTTGGGTTGAGGAAGTGCTCGCGTTGATCATGGAAGGGTGATAGTGCTGGCCGAGAGACGGCGTTGATGCCCATGCTCTGCATGATCTGCGAGTCCTGACCGTTTCAGGCTGCACACCAGTGCCCCGCATGCCCAGCTTAGCATGACACTCCTAAATTAAACCCTAAACCCTAAACCCCTAAACCCCTGAACCCCTTAACCCCTAAACCCAAAACCCTAAACCCTAAACCCTAAACCCCTAAACCCCTAAACCCCAAACCCTGTTGCAAACTAAACCCTAAACTCTAAACCCTAAACCCTAAACCCTAAACCCTAAACCCTAAACCCTAACCCTAAACCCTAAACCCTAAACCACCTGCCTCCTCCACGAAGCGGGCGAAGTCCAGGTCTTGTGGATGCCGGCCTCCTTTCGGAACCGGATTCCAGGCGACTCCCTTCAGGTGCAGCGGCTTGCCATCCACCAGCAGCTGGTTTCCTTTGGTTTAGGGTTTAGGGTTTAGGGTTTAGGGTTCAGGGTTTAGGGTTTAGGGTATAGGGCTTGGGTTTTGGGCAGGTTTAGGGTTTAGGGCTGACTTTTTCTTTCAAAGCAAACGCGGAGTGTTGTCGACCCCCGGCACTGCCTACTACAAGGGTGCTGCGTGTGAGAGTCAAGGAAAACCTGTTGCCAAGCATTCCTGGGCTCCCACCACCTGAATTCGCTTGCCGGGAGAAGGCGTGGGCTTGGGTGTGGACGTAGGGGGCGCCGGAGGAGCCGGACAAGTAGGCGGTGCGTTTTCCTTGACGCACTTGCACAGCATGTCTGATGTATCTTCGATGGGCTGATCGCAGGGCTTGGTGTACTTGATCTCGCAATTCTCGTTCTGTTCCTCTGCCGCAGCCACACAGACATGGCCAAAGCTTTCGCAGTACCTGGAGCTTGTTCCGAAACTAGGGTCTCTTTGTCGGGAGTCCTTCTGAGCCCTAAACCCTAAACCCCCAAACCCAGAATGTGGGCAAAGGGGCCCCCGTTTTATGGAAAAATCCCGGCCTGTCGCATCGGCCACCGAATGGAGCGGTCTCCACAAGGGCCATGCAATCGTCGCAGGTGACGCCGTTGTCTACCTTAGCACAACACACTGATTGTTACAATTATGATGATGATGATGATGATTATTATTATGATGGAAATGGGGCCTGAATCACCCAGGCTCCAACCCAGACGCGGATGCGGAAAGTACACCGCCCGCGTTTCGACAAATGAAGAGGTTTCAAGAGCCGCCCACAACAAGCCACCTTCACTCAATACGCACTTGTGGCCTGCCCTTCAAACCCTCAACTCTCGAAGATGCCACGCAGGCATCCTTCTTTGGGGGTTTCCGCACATAGGGGGCGACCTCCTTGGGGGCCCCTATTCTAAGGGAATCCTACGATTTAGGGGGTCTCTATTAAGGTGTCCCCTTTATTTTCGTCAAGCCTAAACCCTAAACCCTAAACCCTAAGCCCTAAGCCCTAAACCCTAAACCCCCCCATTTTCTCTGCCCAAGCCGCCTGGGGCCAGCTCGCCGGGTTGCGGCAGCAAGGCTCGGCGGGCGGGCTCGGTGGCTCCGGGACCGGCCAGTCGCACTTGGGCTCGTTCATCTGGGCCACAGACTCTGTCGACTTGTGATGTAAGGGTTTAGGGTTTGGGTTTAGGGTTTAGGGTTTAGGGTTTAGGGTTTAGGGTTTAGGGTTTAGGGTTTAGGGTTTAGGGTTTAGGGTTTAGGGTTTAGGGAGTTTAGGGTTTAGGGAGTTTAGGGTTTAGGGTTTAGGGTTTTGGGCTTAGAGTGATGGCAAGGCGCTGGGTCTTCAGCAGTTGGCCGTGTGTTTGGGTGTTGGGCTTATGGGGCTTTGAGGTTACAAGTTACAGGTATTGCAAGGGTTGTACTCGGAAGGTGCAGTCAGGCAAGAGTCAGACTGCGGATGGCGGCAGGTGCACAGGATGTCGCTCGTGCCAAGGATTGGCTCGTCACATCCTTACAGTGTGTGTGTGTGCAAGTAGGCACAGGTTGTCGCACAGCATTTGCACTGAGCTTGCATCACTGAAGGCAACCAGGCGGCTGGAAGTGTACTTCACGGCGCCTGAGGGCAATCTGGCAAACTGAGTTGCTGGCCCTAAACCCTAAACCCTAAACCCCTTTCAGACTCGGGACGTGCAAGTACGTGCAGCTAAGCAGCAATTCTCGTTGACTTCTTCAGCTGCTTGATAGCACACATGCCCAAAGCTTTCGCAGTATTTGTCCTCATCAACTTTGCCCAGCACAGGGAAGACGGGAGGAACGTTACTTAGCAAGTAGTAAGGAACCCTTCATCGACGGAATTTAAGACCTGGCATCCCAAAATTTGTCCTGCAATGCTGCAAGGCCCCACTGCCAACGGTCCCCCCCGACCACCCCGCACCCCCGAATGTAGGTACTATAGTACTCCATGCTCCCATTCGGTACGAGAAGGCAAAATGATTGGCAGTCGGAGGCAAGACGACTGGCAAAAGCCACTGCACCTAATTGTGAAAGAGCTTCTGAGGAGGGAGATATTTTCCCTACCGGGCCAAATGTTTGAAGACCGCTGGCATTGCCGAAGCAGCGCCGCTCTCTCCGTGTTGTGCTGCCATCTCAAACTCGCACGCGGCTGCTGCGATTCCGTCCCCAAACGCATGCATGAACCCTTTCAGAACTACACCACGTCCCGCACTAATAGCTCCCAGAAGCCCCCAAATCTTTTGCAGGAGAGGGTCGCATCTGCCTCCGAAAGGTGCCGCGTTGATCAAGGCCGTGCAGCCTGAGCCTCGGGTTTAGGGTTTACGGGTTTAGGGGTTTAGGGTTTAGGGTTTAGGGGTTAGGGGTTTAGGGTTTAGGGTTTAGGGTGGCAGCTTGGTGGCCTTATGGGGTTGAAGTGGCTTTTGGGGTTTCGGGCCTCAACAACTTAGGATCTGAAAGGGGATAGACGAGCCCTGCTTGCTGTGCTGTTTCGATGCATGCCACCATGCCAGTGCCATGCTTGTGCTCTGAAGAATCCATGCAGGGAATGGAAGTGCAAAAAAAGCACGCAGCATCGCAGGCAAGCGGCATTGCACGTTGTCCTTCTCGGGCCAAGAATCATAAGCTGCGCAGCAAGCTGCTTCGCTGGTCGGACTCAGTTGCGCAAGCTTATCTGTCACAGCTCGTCGGGGGTCACGGCGGGGCTAATCCAAGCTGATCCCCGCTTAGACGGGAGAGAAAGACCTCTGCTGAGCGAGCGACCCGGCTTGTTGAAGCTCCACGCCCGGCCGCAGCCAAAAGTTGAATGGGTGATCTGCATAAGGTGATGAGAGCAGAGGGTGTGGGACCCTCTGAATGTGTAAAGATGTGTCGACATGCAAATCCGGCAATGCGAACTGACAGAAAACTCTCACCGCTGGCCTTGCCGGCAGTGCTCCTTGTGAACATTCCTTGGAGACAACTGTTCACATGCGTGCGCATGCATGGAATCAGCCAGCGAGGGCTATCACACTCAACATCTGCTTCCTTGGCTGACCTGGTGCCACCTATTACTACTACTACTACTCCTCCTCCTCCTACTCTTAGGGTCAAGGTGCTTTCGCAGCCAACATGTCTTTTTGGACACGTGCTGGTTGCCCTGTGGCATCACAATGCCTTGGCATTCCGGCTCCTGCGCACGTGGGGTTTAGGGCTTAGGGGGAGAACCGCCAAGCAAAGCCGTCACTTACTTACATCTTTCTGATGTGCCCCACAGCACCGCTCCTTGAGGCAGGCCTCTTGGCACTCTTGTAAAGAGTATTGCCCCAGCAGCGGATCTGTCTCAAACTCGTCCGCGCCATGATGCTTCCAACCTCTTGAGGTTTCTGTTGAGTCTCACCAGGGTTCAACAAGTCTCTTTTTGATGGGCTGCGTATCCAGCTGGGGAGCAGTTCATGCCATAAACCATCTGCCATTCCTTCCAGTTAGAAGGCTTTGTCGTTGTTGGTGAAGGCGAAGGCGGCGGCGTAGTCGTCGGTTCTGTTGGAACCTTTCTGCGCGTATCGTTTATGCGACAGAATGATGTTGAGTTCTGATTAGGACTGGTTCGGAAGAGTGCACAAACAGAATGATGACAAGCAATCCAAAATCATTCCCCCCCCCTCCCCAAGCCCTAGTTCGTTTTTTTCAGAATGTTGAGGCAGCTGAGAGCTTCACCTGACATATCTGGGCTCTATAAACTCTCAACAAAGAGAGAGAGAGAGAGAGAGAGAGAGAGAGAGAGAGAGAGAGACAGAGAGAGAGAGAGAACTTTTCGCAACCCTTCAAGGGGGTCAAAAAGTTGCCAAACTATTTCGGATTTAAGTTGCTTGAGGGCATTAAACATTGGAAAACGTGTGCACCCCAGAGATCGGTTTCTTGATTCACCTAGATCTCCGACAACTACTGCTGTTCCGCATAGGCGCCTTCAAGCAAACTGAGTTGTCATCCTCAGCTGTTGCCTCGATTCCTGCAGGTCTGATTCCCATTACCAATAAAAGACGCGTTTGCAGATGCCTGACAACCACAAGTAAGCCGATGTTTTGTCCAAAGGAGTCCTTCCGGGCGCGTCCACACTTCACAGTGGCCGGTGCTGAGGAAATTGATTCCCTGGACAATGCGCTTGGAAAACACGACGCATGCGGATCATCAAACGCACCGGCGGGCCTGGCAATCGACATGTTGCACACACGCAGCTTTGCATTCGTCCACTGAGTCGGCTGTGATGGCGATGTAGTAGGCGTCCTGCGCAGACTGCGCAGGTACACACAGTTCGGAAGCTGTAGCTGCTACACGCCATACCCCCTTATACTAACAGTCCTTAGTAGGGATTATAGAGTACCCCCCCCCCCCCCCCCCCATTAGAATCCCTACCAAGGACTGTTCAAGGGTGAACATAAACCCCAAACCATCCTTCTTGTCGGAGGCATGCTGGCCCCGGCAGCTTTTGCCCCGTCCGCCATGCACGGCCACGAAGTTCTGCAGCACCGCCATGTCCTTGGTGGACTTACGTTTTTTTTGGGTTTGGGGTTTAGGGTTTAGGGTTTAGGGTTTCGGGTTTAGGGATCTTCATGTATGCCGTGGAAAAACAGAAGACTGAAGGAGCAATAAACATCGTCAAGCTGCTGGCACTAGCCGCAGGCAGGTTGAGCCTGTCATGGGTTCTACACATTGTTGCTGTGATCTGGCCAGCACTGCGCAAGCTGCTAAGCCTCCTAAACCGCCTAAACCCTAAACCCTAAACCCTGAACCCTAAACCCTAAACCCTAAACCTCTTATGTGTCCTGGTGGCCTGCTTCGTGAATGCTGCCACTGATGTGTTGCGTCCATACGCGGCAGCCTGAGCAGTACATGTCATCGCACACTTGGAGGTTCATGGTACTTAGCAACCCAATTATAACTGTACTTAGCCCAATTAACTTATAAGATTCTAAGTGGGTTATAACTACACTTATAATTGGGTTACTAAGTGCCCTGAATCCCACCTGCACATCCCACCGACAGAGTGCAGCTCAGGTGCGGCTGCCACTCCAATCAAGGCCCTGGCCCAATGGGTGAATAGGGTTTAATCGCTCACACTCGGACAAGCCAGGCGAGGTACACAGGTTCAATAGTCTCAAATCGGCTCTGCAGCACATGTGGCCACATGCATAGGGTTTAGGGTTTAGGGTTTAGGGTTTAGGGTTTCCGAAATGAGGGGGTACCTTATGTGGGATCCTTATTCATAAGGGGAATCCTACTAATTATTTGGGGGGACTATATTGGGGTCCCTGATCTTCGCAAGCTCCCACATGTTCGTGCTGCATGTCGACGACTCGTGAGACACGGTCTTGACTATGGTTTGAACCCATAGTCGCCGTTTCATTTCTTGCTTGGGAATGGGCCACCAAGGGTCGTGGGCGGGGTCGACACCAGGAAAGCCTGGATTGGCAAGCCAATATCAGATATCATCCAGCAACTTTTCAAATCGCTCATTTGGAAAGTGGGAAGTGCTACAGCTTCAAGAGAGCGGGGAAAGGGGGGGAGGGGACGACGAAGGTCTTCTGCTTGAGGAAGTCGCTTTGCGAGAGGGTCAGGATTCCGGGTTCGAACGGCATGGGGAAGCACTATCGGCTCGTTAGCGAGTCCTGCCGGATCTTGGGCAGGGGAAGGTACAAGGATGGCTTCTGCATCGGCGAACAGGGCTTGCATGCTTCTGTGACATTGAATTGTGGTTGCCGAATCTGGGTATTACCGTTTCCCGACCGATGAACCGAGTGCACCTGGATGAGGCTCACCATGAACAATCATGTGGTGGGTTCCCTAACTGTTTTTTTGGGCTACCGATTAAATTATCGAAACGGCCCGCACATCCGAGAAACCCAAAAAGGGACAGAGAACTCATATCGGGCTGCTCGAGAATGGGGGGCCGCCTTTTGGAGGGCCTTCAAGTAGGCAGAAGAAATAGCTCGGAATCGCCTTTTTTGCATTTATCGGTCATTCATCTAAGCCCCAACCGCCTCAAAGTTCCAGTGCAGTTAGGGTTTAGGGTTTAGGGTTTAGGGTTTAGGGTTAGGGTTTAGGGTCTTACCCAGTACTGTACGCACTAGCAGCTTGTGCTTCCTAAGATGCACTTCCCTTCGTGGCACGTGCACGAACGATGCATGGCCTTGCAGGAAGGATTGGCCAAACAGCGATTTTTGCAATCGGCCAAGCTGTTCTCCTGAGCATGACAGGCTATGCATCCCAGATGCTGTCCTTAACATGCTTACCCCTATGTGGCAAGGACCTTTATGTTCTATTTGGCGCAGGGCTCTGTTTACCTTTATCCCATACTTAAATCGATACATATATATGTATATATACATACTTATGTACCATTTGGCTTTTGCTCTTGGTTACCAAATAATTTGCATATACCTTTACTTGACATGTCCGTTATCATACTTCAGAGCTTTCGTTTTCTCTCCGTGCACGATTGCCCAGGCCGAGATACCAGACATACCGCCCATAAAAGAAAAGAAGAGAGAAAGAGAGAAAGAGAGAGAGAGAGAGAGAGAGGGAAAGAGAGCGAGAGAGGGGGAGAGAGAGAGAGAGAGAGAGAGAGAAAGAGAGAGAGAGAGAGAGAGCGAGAGCGAGAGCGAGAGAGACAGAGAGCGAGAGAGAGAGAGAGAGACAGAGAGAGACAGAGAGAGACAGAGAGATAGAATGAGCGTGAGAGTGACAATGAGAGTGAGAGGGGCACAGAAGAGAAAGAGAAAGAGAAAGAGAAAGAGAAAGAGAAAGAGAAAGAGAAAGAGAAAAATAAAGAGAAAAGAGAAAGAGGAAAGGGAAACATAAAGAGAAAGAGCGAGAGAGAGACAGAGAGAGAGAGAGAGAGAGAGACAGAGAGAGAGAGAGAGAGAGAGAGAGAGAAAGGGAGGGAGGGAGAGGGTGAGAGGTGAAAAGAAAGAACGTATGCCTAAGCTGAATGAAAAAGAAGAAGTCCCTTTTTCCTCTGCGTTCCCACTTATCGCTTCCATTCCTATTCTTCTCTTAGTGTAGGGCATGGCACGAGGGAGGGGGTGAAAGCGGATGAGTGAAAGCGGCATAGGCGGGGCGAAATCGTCCTTTCGCTACTTTCTTCGCCCTTCTTTTGCTTTCTCATTTGAGAAGGGCGCGGAAAGGAGGGAAGGGTAGGGCGGAAAGGAGGGAAGGGTAGGGCGTGGAATGATGCGAGGGAAGGCAAAAGGGGACAAGAGAAAGTGAAAGTGTGAGAGAGAGAGAGAAGAACAAAAATCGCGCGAGAAAGAGAACATGGGAGACGAGGAAGGCTTCAGCAGAGAAAGCGAGAGAGCCACGAGTATGGCCCTATCCCATCCCAGTGTTACTGTATCTCAGGGGCCTCCGGGCCTCGCGGAGCCTGTAGGGGGCCTGCAGGGGCATCCAGAATTTTCTGGAAGCAACGGGCGTCCAACCCTTCCCCAGCCTGCCATGTGACATTGTGTCCTCCTCCCCTCCTGTTCCCTTCCTCACCCCCCTTCCCATACCCTTAAAAGACAAGAAAGGAACGAAGAGAGCGAGAGAGTCTTTCATTCTTGCTCTTCCTGCTTCCACTTCCTCCTCAGTAAGAAACAATCAGATAAAGACAGGAGGAGGGGAAAGCCAACAGGCAGCAAAAGGCTGTTTTTTGTACTGACTTCCTCCTTCATTCACTTCATTGCTTCTCTCTTCTTCTCTATGTTTCTCTGTTTCTCGCTCTGTCTCCCTTCTCCGTCTGCGCTTATTCTTTCTGTGTATTTATAGTTTCCCCATTCTTCTCACCTACATCCGTCCTTATGAACGTTTCGTTGCAGGTGTGCTCCTCACTGCCTATTTCTAAAGCCCTTTGCCATACGTCTGTTTCTCAGGAGCCTACAGGCGTTTCCAATGAGAGGCTTTCCAGAGAGAGCTTCAAATCGGGAAGAGGGGCGAGAGAGGAAGACGCTTTCTACCCCTTTCGAATTTAAGAACAAAAAAAGAGTAAGGTAGACGGAACAAGGAGAACCCCTCTTTCTTTCTTGTCGTTCCCGTCTCCTCTCTTATCCTTGACCTACGTCTTGGAGGGGCTAGGAGAAATGGGGCACGGGATGGGGAGGAGCAAGCGGGAGGAGAATGAAGAGGAGAAGAGACAGGAAGGGGAGAGCGGGCGAGAGAGAGGGAGAGAGACTTTGAGAATGATACGATAAAAAAACGCAACAAGCGAAAATGAATGGTGGACAGAAAGGGAGTGGAGAAAGGGACGGTCTGAGTCTTTGGGGTCACTCTGAAAACAGCTTGGAGAGGACAGCTGCTTCTCTCTCCTTTTTTCTGTTTCTCTCTCTCTTGCTCCGCGTCTGTCGTTCTCCTTCCCTCGTTCTGTCAGTGATTTACACTCCTTTTCAATATCCGCCAGGGCCTGCAGTTTTCGCAGGGGGCTGCACCGAGGGGTTCCCTAAAAGGGCCTCCCAGGGGTTTGAGAGAAGATGGGACTGTGAGGAAGGCCCTGTCCTCCCATTTCCAAGAAGAGAACATTCATTTGCGTCGCTTTTATTATATTATTATTCTCTTCACAGTGTTCTTTCATCCTCGGTTTCGTTCATTTAATATTTAATTTCACGCGATCGCTTATTTCATGCGCTCACTTGAAAATTTAATATTAAATTCTCTTCATATTATATTATTCCTCTCTTGTCAGTACCTTCACTCTTCCTTCTCATCCTTGACGTTCTGCTTCCATTTCCCTCTTGAAGGAGAACTCCTGCTCCTCTCTTGTCAGTACCTTTGTTCTTTCATTCACTGTTGAATGGCGCGTAAAAAAAACGGGAGGAGCGGGGAGGAAAGAGGAAAGAGCAAGAAGGAAGCGGGGAAGAGAAAGGAAGGAAGGAAGGAAGGCAGGAAGGAAGGAAGGAAGGAAGGAGGGAGAGAGGGTCAGAAAGAGAGAGAGAGGAAAAAAAAAAAAAAGACAGGAAAGAGAGAGAGGGAGGGAGAGAGAGAGAGAGAGAGAGAGAGAAAGAGAGAGAAAGAGAGAGAAAGAGAAAGAGAAAGAGAAAGAGAGGGAGAGAGAAACGATGAATAAAAGAAACACGCCGACCTATTTAACGTGTTTTGATTCTTTTAGAGGCTCCATAATGTAAACATTTTGAATATTTCAATTCAGCTGTTTATTTGTTATTTGGAAGGCTCAAGATATCAACATTTCGTAGAACACTTTAACTGAACGATGTAAACGGTTTCAGTTATGACATTACTTCAAACTGTTCAGTTTAGCGTGGAGACCTAAGACATCAAACAATGATATTTTTTACATCATGATATTCCTGCAGCCTGTTAAATATTTCAAACGATTGAAAAGTAAGAATTCAACAAAGTTAACGAACGCTTTTGTTTTGCAAACCTTCATGTGCCATCATTTTTAACGAAGGTCCGATTTGAAGCCTGATATGTCCTCAACATGTCAAAAGCGAAAAGCGTTTTTCCCTCAACCTGGTGCGCCTGTAACGTCAAACGTCAGTTTTTCTGTAAACCCTAGTGTGTCCTCAACCTCAACAACGAAAGGGTTCTTGTACACCTTGGTGTGCCCTCATCCTCAAAAACAGCCTTAAGACCAACAAGTTTTTGACCCCTCGAGGGGCCCAGCCTTAAGAAAAAAAAACTGTTTGACCCCTCGAGGGGCCCAGCCT